TGGCGGGTCACGACTCCATCGGTCCCTTCCCCACCGAATTCCAGTTCGCTATTCCTGCAGCATGTTTTCTACGTTTTTCTTGTTGGCAGCGAGCTGTTTCCAGCTCCGTGACAAATTAGATATGCGCTCGAAAGTGTCCAAGGCAATGGGGCAAACATATTATCCCAGTACAGAGTCCTTTTGCTGCGGTTGGTCCTTTTGGGTCTGCGAGGCACTCTGCTGTCTGCTGTCTGCTGTTTTACGACATTTTCCGCCCACCAGAGTATGCAGCATGCACCGCTGCATATACTGCTGATATGCATTGAGAGCATGTGCATAATGCGTGTGTATGTGTGTGTATGTGTGTGTGTATGTTAGTATTAGTTTGTGTTATGTATCCCGCGCTGACACTAAAAGCTATTTGTAAATTTCGTGGTTGCAATTATGTTTGCTGTTTTGTTGGCTAACCGCCACGCCTTTAGTCAACTTACGCCGAGCTCCATACCCCAACTGTGCCACAACGTAACACTTAACACAGACAACTAGCAACGCCATGCATCTACTCTCGCTTTTTTTTTATTTTAAATGTGGCTTTGCTGGTTATTATTAGTTTGCTGTGGTTTGCTGGCTGCGGCCGCTTTGCTCATGCACTTTCAACTGCCCCATGGCCACGCCTCCGCCTCCGCCTCCGCCCTCGCCTGTTTATAGAGTTTTCTGACCACATCACACTTCTCCACACACAGACACACGCACACGTACATGCATATAAATATTTGTACTATCGGTTCATAATGCGTGTGTGTTTTGGGTTTTGGCTGACACATTAAAGTTTCTGTTTTAGGTACATTTTCTGGCATAATTTTTCCAACACATTTTTAAGTATTTCGGGCCACATTATTGACCCATTTGGCAACATTACTAATAATGGATTTTTGCTGTTTCGGCTTAAATATTTTATTAAACGGCCAAAAAGAAAAGCAAAAAAACCTGATTCCAACTGTAATGTGGACGAATATGTTCATGTGTATAAAAATTAATATATGTAATTAACTTTATAAGTTAATACTTCAAAAAACCATTGTTTGCATAGAAATAAGCGTATAAATTAGCATATAAAGCAAACCATTTCCGCATCCATCCTGTTTGTATACCTTGAAGCCAAAAAAATGTAATAATGTTGCCACAAGGCACATGGTCCAGATGCTTCAGGAAGTGGCCAAAAGCAAACGACTCACATCTACCTCAAAATATGCCAACAAATAATGTTCACACTTCGACTTTGGGCAGCGGCTTCGATGGGGTCTTCTCTGGTCCGAAGTAGGTTTTTGGTGGCTACCACAAATCATTCAGTGGCATGAATTATTACTGGCGCTTAGAACGTGCTCACAGCGCTAAAGTGTCATTACTGGGCTTAATGAGTCTGACGGCAGCACTCAACAAAAGAAAAAAAAGAAAATAAAAAAAACCTAAAAGTAAAAAAAAAAAAGAAAATAACACCACAAAAGAGAAAAGAAAAAGTGAAATGTGTAGCATGAAAACAGACAAACTACGATGTTCATTGTCTGGCTCTTATTTATGTGGTTATCGGTCAGATCGTGTTAATGAATGATAGTAATAGTTATGGCAAATACCCTGTATAAGTAGTAATTTAATGAGCATAATGACCATAAGAAACATACGCTTGAATATAGACAAGAAGCATAGGCACAAATACAAAAGAATAACTTCTATGAGAATAAAAGAAATCATTACTAATGCGGAAATATGTTAAATTGGGAAATATATACAATTTACAAATTGTATGAGTTTAATATAAGTCAAAATAAATTTAAAAGCTAGGCTTATTATGATTTTAAATATATACTAAATATAGTAAACTTTATAGTTTATTGTTTGGTGAGCACTGTTCATAATTAAAATTAATCTTTTGCTGGCTCCAGATCAGCTTTGTTATATAATTACATTATTAAAGGGTAGCAGCAACATAAGTTCTTCTTTTTTACTTTATAAATGAAATATTATGCAGACTATTACGGCTGCTGCTGCTGATTAGTTTTTCCCACAGACATGTTAGAAATTATTAACACACATACGTCACGTTGTTTGTGGGCAATGCTGTATGCTAAGCAGCTGTTAGGCGAGTAGAGTAGGGCAACAGCAGTTGGCTGCAAGGACCAAGGGGAGTCACTCCAACCACTTCAGCTCGAAGGCACTCTCGCAGTGGAAGCAGCATAAATCGAGGCACCCAAAAAGCATAAAGCAAGCATGTCGCGCCATCATTTTCAGCTGCCACGTGCCTGGGCATACATTTTGTGCATTTTATGGGGCATGCAGCAAGTAGCAAGCTGCACCGTTGAGCGCCGGTTGCAGTGGCCAAGAAACAAACAAAGCGAGGCAGAATCAAGGCAACAGCTAGCTCAGAATTTTAAAGCTGATTACTCAATAACTTTGCTGGCGAGTGCATAAAGTGCGGGTCGTATCCTTGAAGTGCATAATTCCTTGCCAAGTGCAAGTGCGAGCTGCAACCTGCGAGGGTGGGGATTTTTTCACTCATTTTATGTGCACTTAAACTGCATTTGTTATTAAAGCCTGTTGAGCATTGCTGTTGTTATTGGTGCTAGTGGAACCAACCCGAAATTTACCCTCAAATTGAGTTGCCTCGAAGTGATTTTCAGTTGAAACCCATTGGCTGCTGCTTTCCCCCAAGTAAATAATGTATGTTTGCAGCGTGATAAAAACTCAAGGAGAAACTTGCACTTAGGCCACGGTTAGTTAAGTATAGCGAAAAGTTGTTAAAATAGATTTTCTACACATTACCTTCTCACTTCCTACATAAAATCAAAGCACATTTATATAAAATAAAAGTGTTTATCGATGTTTGATACTTATTTATTTTATCCATTAGTTAATCTCACAATGAAATTGATAAAGTACGTCAAACACATCGAAATTGGCAGCCGTTTTCTAGTCACTTTTGTTAAGCATTTTTATTTAATTATTTATTTAAATGTGCTATAAATTCGATTAGGCTGCAGCATAAAAAAAAACGCGAGAGAGGAAGCGGCAAATAGGCAGAGTTTTTTACTTATTGCTGAAATTCAATTACAACCGCTAATGCCATTTGTATTGCCCGTGCGCCAAGCCGCACACTGTTCAGCTCTAAATACCCGTAATCCGACAAAATTTTAATTTGATAAAAGTTGAACTTCAATAAGTGCCAAAGCTGGCGAGGCCATTATAATTGTGGTTCTGCGAGTGTATGTAAGCCATCGTGTATGTATTTTTGTTAACCGTTTTGTAACCGCAGCGAAAAGCCACAAACAAATATGATCAGACATCAAACCGACTGCGTACAGCTAAAAAAAAAAAAAAAAACCCAACTGTAACTTCAGCAAGTGCTAACAGTTCGGATAAAAGTGGCTTATATAAATATATATATGTATTTATATTTACACACAGGTATTGCTGACATCTGCCAACAGGCAGTGTTTAAGCGGAAAAGCATTGCATACTTTTATGCGGCCGCAAAAAAAACTCGAAACAGCCGCTTCCAAAATGTGGCTGCATTTAAATGCATACACACTTTTTCATATATTCATATAACAGCAGAATATTACAGAAACATGTTAATTGACAAACTTTTCATTATGTTTTAAATATAAAAAATGAAGAGACAGCTGCTGAATTAGGTAAAGCAAAAAACTATTAAATTATGTATTTGTTTATTAATTATGTTTGTTTTATTAATTAAATAATTTTGGTTTATAGTTTCAAAGTAATGGGCTTTGTCAATTTTAATGACATACAATTTAATACATGCGAAAAATTTTACAAAATATTATTTTAGTATGTAAAAATATGTGTCACTTATATATTGAATTATTATTTTAGTACGTATTAATTGTAAAAATATGAGTCACTTATATATTGAGTTAATGCTTAAAGTAATTCTTGTATATTTTTTTTTGGTAACTATTAGAAATTTAAATTACATTTGGAAAAAAATTTAATTTTTCACACAATTTTTAACCTATTGGAGAAGCAAACTCTTTACAGCACAATCCTTTAATTTACTTATAGCTATGAAAAATTAAATTAAAAGAGAGACTGCGAAAAATATTTAATCAAAGAGTTCTGCACTCAGCATCAAACATTTATTCCGATGCACCAAGCAAACGACTGGTGAAACACCAACAACAACAAAAAAAGAAATAATAAAGAAATCCCATCGCAACGTAAAAAATTCTAATTTATTGAGTTTACGCCCATTTTTACACGCTGCGCACACGGCCAACATTTAGCCCCGCCACATGTCCTAACCATAGCCCGAATCTAAAAGTTCAAAAAAAAATAGAAATAAAAATAAGATAAATATGTAAAACGCCAAAAACAAAAAGCGAAAAATGCTGAACCCGATTCGACTTGCAGCTCAGCGCGTCGACAAATGAAATTTTCACGTCGCACAGGACACGCGCCAGAGCCACGGTCGACGTGAGGCAGCCCTTTGAATTTGCCACACAAACATTTTGGCATGTCCACAAAAAAAAAAAAAAAAAATAGGAAGTCGAAAAAATAAAAAAAACGCAGATTAAAAAGTTGCAAAAATTTTAATGGAATTTTATTTCTCGCTCCCACACACACACACACACTCCACGCTCTCTCTCGCTCCCTGGGGTCGTTGTTGGCGGTCGCGTTGCGGAAATTGTTGCCGTTGTACCCTTTGATTGTCAAGCATCGGCTTACATACATAAATGTGACAAAAACACAACCACACGAGTGTGTACATATGTACTTGTGCGTGTGTATATGTCGTTTGTAGGTGCGAAGACACAACAAGTCAAACAGACGAATAGGAGGACAGGCAGCCCAGCCGAAGGTTAAAGGACAGCCAGTTGACGAAAAACTAAACTGTCAGCTTGAGTGAAAAGTTGTCTCTACCACCGGAAATTATTAAAAAAAAAAACGGGCTGGCAAATTTAAATTGGCCCCAATTGAGACCCTTGCATATCCTTTATCCATCAAAAAAGAAAATTTTATTTGAAAAACATATAATTTTAAACTTAACAGAGCTTATAAACACATTTACAACTTTTGGATTAGAAAAGAAGTCGCTTAATGAACGGGTGACCGCCAGCCAAAGAGTAATTATATCCATAACCATATTTTACACCCCCAAAGTTTTTATACATATTTATATAAAGTATTTTGTGTATGTTTTGACCACCTTTAGTGTTTTTGGTTTGTAGGCTGTGTTGGTAGTTTAAATAAATTGGAGCCAAATAAGTAAGTATTCTAAACTTGTAATACAAAAGATTTTAAATTTATTGATAGCATTTAGTTTATTATACAAGTTTTCTTTTGAATTTAATTGCAAATTAGCCAACCTTAAAGCAATAATGAACTGCGCACAGTTCGTAGTAATAATAAATAAAATTCTTATCATAAGTTTAGCCATACAAAATACTCGAAACAAATTAGACATATACGGGATATTTATATGCAATGAAAGAGTAAAATGTGTTAAAGCTAAAAGCTATAAAACCAATTGAACCCAGATCTAGTCTAGCTTAAAGTATATTCCTTGCATAGAAGCTGTCCCACAACGGCAGTTTCTCTAGTTCGGGCAGTGGTTTCAGCTCAAAGTCCTGCCCGATATTGAGGCACTGAACACTCGTCTCACTCTCCAAAGGTGCAAATTTGAGTGTCTTGATGCTATCGCAGTTGGGATCCCCGCTGGCCGCAAAGTGCGTCCATATGTCAATCATGCCAGTGATGATCTTGTGCTCCGGTGAACCGGGCGCAGACTGGGTGCACATCATGCTGTGAAAGATGTAGCAGAGATCATCGCCATGACAGACGCCACGCATATCGTTGCCACAAAGCACAATGCGTATGCCATTGCACAGCTTCGAGTCGTGATCGAAACGATACAAATAGGTGGGAGCGTTGCCATCGCGCAGTCGGGATAATGCAGTGCGATAAATGGGATGCCAGAACTCGCGATACGATTCAAGCTCAAGGAATTTCATCATATTCGCCTGATTGCAGGACTCGTCCCCAAAGTAGGCACGCTTCAGCTGCAGGCTGTAATTCTCCCGCAGCTTGGGATCCAAATTGTCGCCCAGATCGATTGGAAGCAAGTTTTTGCAGGTGCCCACCTCATCCAGCGTGGCAGGACGTCGAACAACCTCTGAAAGAAGGAAGAGAAAGTAGAGAACAATTTAAAAAAAAAGGCATAAGATATAGAAATGTAAAATTAAAATTGAAATTAAAGTTACGAATTAAATGATACAAAATTAAAAGTGAATAATTATATCAAATTGGAAATAAAAAAAAAATTAAATAATAAAAGGGAATTATTATTTCTGTGTGTTGACCAATGCAGACATATCGATCGATATCGTCATCAATTTTATGTACAGATGTTATGTTACAGTCTTTAGCACAGTTTACAGATAACAAAAAAAGAAGTTATCGATAATGAAAAAATCCGTATAAAAAACGGTTTCAATCAGGATGCGAAATATTTCGCGGTGGAATTTTGACGACTGGTTTAGAGGCCGCAAAATTAAAATCTACAAGTTAACTTTTACATTATTACCTCTGTGGATTCTGTTTGCCAGTGTCAAAATAATTAACTTTGATATATTTTGATGACGGTTATCGATTAACCACCACAGAAGCGGCAAGTGCATCGAAATGGAAGTAGTAAATTATGAATGACAATGATTTCCAGCTTCAAGAAAAAAGTGTACGTATAAAAAAGTGTAAAATAAAAGCAAGGCAGTTCTAATAAAAAATTTCGCATGTCGAGACAATGATATCTTGTTTTAGATTACACATCAGGCCACATCACCGTTATTTACATTACTATTGGCCTGTCTAAAAAGTAATCAAATAATTTCTCTTTATCCAAAACATTTTTTTTTACTACGTAAAATATAAACAAATTTGTACAAAACAAAGACAACAATTCGGTTTATTCATCAAAATCCGTTTAATGAAGTCAAATCCAATTTGTTGTTGAAATTGAATTTCCAATTTGTATTTTTGGACCAATTAAATTTTCACTCCAATTGGTTTAATATTTGTAGACACATCAAAATGGAATTTGATTGAATTCAAAATTGTTTACTACTACTACTAATATGGAGAGCCACTCACCTGGATAGAAGAGTAGACCCTCAAAGCTGGTGCCACCGAACATCATGGGCACACGTCGGCTCCAGGTCTGCTGCATCAGCTGATAGGGTGGCTGGGCGATGACCGTGTGCTCGGTTTTATAGGGTTCGACGACGGGACCAAAGGCGAACAGCACGCGATTGTGTTTCTCCTCCTTGTCGAGCACCAGTGATGCGGCCTTGACAATATCACCTCCCTTGGCCTCGCTCAGGAACTTGAAGATCTCCTTGTCCTTGTTGGCGCCCGTGAAGCCCAGTTTCTGTGCCAGGCGATAGGCCCAATTGTTTTTCGGCGGCTGTGCCCATGGACACAATGCACTGCCCGACATTATAATCGCCTTGTGCAGCAAACCCTCCGTCTGGGGACTCAACGTGAGCAGATGTGTGGATGCGCCGCCAGCGCTTTCGCCAAAGAGTGTGACATTATTGGGATCGCCGCCAAAAGCTTCGATATTCTGTTGCACCCAACGCAGGCCCATAATTTGGTCCTTTAAACCCGCATTGCCGGGCACATTGAGCTCCGGATCATCCAGACTGAGAAAGCCCAAGGCGCCCAGACGATACGCAATGGTCACAATCACCACATCCTTGGACATAAAAAAGTCCGGACTGTACATATCACGGGACGCTTCGCCCACCTGAAAGCCACCGCCATAAATCCAGACCATGACTGGACGCGGTTTCTCCGGTTGCAGCTGCACACAATAAAAATATATCAGTTATTGACAGTTGTGTGTATTTTATTTACTTACATCCTTCGCATAGACATTCAGGTACAAACAATCCTCGGAGCCAGTGAATTTGCGAAAGAATGGATGTGTTTGCATCGGTTTCTCGCCCGGAGAGGTGCAGTCCAGTTCACGTTCCCAAGGCTCCACCGGCTCCGGTGCCTTGAAACGCAACTCACCCAGCGGCGGCTTCGCAAAGGGTATTTTCTCAAAGCTGTAATAACTGCCGCCCCAAATTGTGTTCCTCTTCACGCCTCGCACATTGCCCAACATGGTTTTAACCACCGAAAAAATGTGAGTAGTCAGGCGACGCTGCTCATACTTAAAACTCAACACCCTGTATAAAAAAAAAAACAAGAGAGAGAGAGAGTTGACAAATTAGTTATGATTTGAACTGCACTTCTAGGTTTTTGCAGATATTTTTATTAAAGGCCAGAGGGTTCTCTGGTTTCGTCAACAAATCTGTAACGCACTTAAAGAAACAACTCCATATTTATATTCCTCATCAGATAAGTTACTTTAACTAAGTGAATAGCTTATTGGCAAATTTATAAATGGCCAATTGCAAGCAGTAAAATATTATTAATTAAAATAAATGTTTTGGAACAGTTGTTAAATTAAAAATCATTGTGAATAAAATATATATAACTATATCTTTCGCCAGGCACTGGAGACAATAAACAAAGATAAAAATAACAATTTAAAGCAATCAAAACATTAAAATTTTTCTCAACTTTTACAAGTGATTTTTAAATAATATTTTTATATCTTACTTGTTTTATTTATTTATTGATATTCTTCTTTCCCATGCTGCAAGCTTAGGCTTATTAAACATTATTAAGAAACAAGTCACTAATAATAAATCAGCTTCATATAAGTTAAATAGATAATATTAATAATATAAATACATTCGATGTTAAGGATTAGAATTTAAAATTAGTTTCAATATTTTGTCTGAGTTATACTTCATGTAAGCTACTTTAAATTAGATATTCCTTTGATTTAATTCAATTTAAGTAACTATTTTATAATTTATCTTTCGATGTGCTTATAATTTTAAACAACTGTTTTTTTCCGTTATATTTTTGTTTGTTCAAAAGTATTTTAAAGTCGGTAACACCACGAAGGGCACACTTCTTTCTAGTGTTTGGCCCAAAATCAGTCAAGCCGTTAACAAATTGCCGTTGCCTGGTGGTGGGTGGCTTGGTGTTTTCAATGCCACTGTGGTTGCGTTGCGGAATGTTTTTTTTGGTTTATTTGTGCTCCGTTCTCGTTTTGAAAGTCGCGCATTTTGACCAACCTCAACGCTACCCATTTAATATGCACGACAAGTTTTCTATTTACTGTTTATTTATTTTCGTTTTTCATTAAGTTTTTTTTTTTTCATTTTTTGCATTTAACTTTTATTGCTCAGCTCCCAGCGGGTGGGTGTGTGTGGCTCATCTATTTTATGATGAGCATTTAGTGTAGTTTGTTTTTGTTTTGCTTTGTTTTGATACCTTTCAATTGCGCAGCTCAGACAATTAATCACATATTTTATATTTAACACACATTGTCCCAATGCAACGACATAGTTTATCTTGAGCAACAACAACAGCATCGATAACAACAAAATTGCATACAAATTGCTTAGTTCAGAGAAATCGTCTCTTGCCGCTTATACTAATCTATAATTTATAATCGGGCATATCGGATCTGGCAATTTGCGAAGCTGTAATTGAGAGTAAAAGAGACCGAAAAGTATTTCTATCTCCTCATACATAAGACATATATTTTTATTATTATAATTTTTACTACTATTCGAATGGGTTTCCAGTAACCCCATCAATTTGTTATTTTATCACGAATATATTTTTTGTCGTCTCAAGTTTCATGTCGATGAATATGTAATAATATATAATATCGAGTTTTTTTCGATGTTGATGTTGATGTATCACATTATTCATATACTGATTATTATACTAATTATTTTAAGTCATTTGAATTATTATAATTAATATAATATATATACATGTACATTTTGTATAGTTTTTTTTTATTGGTGTTGGCTATAATAGTCTTTTTATAATAACTAAACCCCTATTAGAGATTAATTACATTGTTGAAAACCGGTTGAAAGCAGAACCGCACTGTCATCATTATATTTCATATGATCATACAATTGCCCATATTAAGTACCTGACTTAATTTCAAAAAGTGCCTCATATATGTCAGTTAATTATAGTAAAGAATTCCTGGTAATTTAATAATAAAAAGTATTAGAGAAATGTTTGATCGAGGTAAACAAAATTCAATGAACACCTTTTTTACGACAACTCAATATTTTCACTAATTTCAATGTCAATGTTTTTAAAATAAATTATCTCCTCATTGCTAACTAAAAGGTTAAAAAAAAATGGTATACAAACAATAAATATTGGTTTAACCAGTGTCTACCCGATTCACGATAAGGAACATTTTGCTAATTTCAAGTTTAATAAAGTGATATCTACAAGTACAGCTGTTTATCAAATTACTGATAAGCTGCACATGCATATATTTTGTAGGTTTTCCCTTATCAGTACAAAAAAAAAAAAATACAAAGTTGAAAAAACAAGATTGAACGTTGCAAATATGTTAGCGGTTTTTAAATGCGGCTACCAGTAACATACTCTACAGAGTAACATACGGCTCTAACTCAAAAACTGCGGAATATATAGCAATTTTAGGAGCGAGGAGCGTGAGGCAGGCGGAGTTGGGCGTGGCATATGCCGCCAGCAACATACCAATTTTTACACTTTGTCTTAGGCGGGCACAGACATTGCACAAAACCAATATACTATTGATACCTCCGGCATAATGAAATATATCAATAAAGTTAACTTGGATGACTAAAATAGATTTGCTTTGTATTAGCAATCAAATTAAAAGTCTGAACCTGAGTAGACTAAAATTCGCTGTGTCATGCCTATTTTGCACAGATAATACTAAATTATAAATAGCTATAGGTAAGCGCTAGCCACCCAAGTGAACTGTGTATTTGTACAAAACTATAGCGTAGCTTGGAATCAGGTGAGAATACTCCAGTTGAGAAACCTCGACTACCAGATCTGAACCTGAACACAGCTATTAATTATTTTATTTTTGTTTTATTTGCCACATAAAAAGTTTTGCGCTCATTAATTTAATCAGGTAATTAGGTAAAATAAGCGATTTTTTTAACTCGGCAGTGAACTGATATAAATCAACGGAGGTTTCTTATCCAACCTTGATGCAATTTTTTACATACTATCAATAATATTTTAAAGTATATATTATATATCAATTTGAAGACTCTGCTTTAAAAATTGTAGCTTTTATTGTCATTGAAAATCGAACGCAGTCTCTAACTCTTATATAAACAATAAAAATACGGAAATGGCTCGTTCGCCTTGGCATTTGATGCTAATCAAGAACATATACTTTTTTTTTGCTGTCCGTTATATAATTTTGCGCAATCAAATATACTCTTTTTATCCCTTTTAAATGCAATTCAGCATATATATATATATATATATATATATATATATACATATATATATATTTTTTTTTAACATCAATTAAAAGTTCGTTTTATACATATAATTTTATCAACACATAGATAATAAAAAAAAGTACATTTCTGTAAATGTTGTCTTTAATTGACTTGTAGTTAAAACAATTTGTTACTGTATAATTATAATATATATTTCTCTCAATATCATTAATTGATTGTCTTTAATATAATTTCATTTCAAACAATAACATAAAACAATAAACCTAATTAATTTGTTTCAACTTCTCAATCAATTGTTGTCCCAAATTATGAAATGAAGTTTTAACCATTACCGCATTTCAATAATGTTGTAACTGCGAATAATAATATAAGCGAGAAATGAAAACATAAACAAAAACGTGCAACTAATAGCAATAGGAAAAACGAACAATTGAAGGGGGAAGAAGAAAGAGATATAAAAAAGCTCAGCACTAAATCGAACTGTATGCAAAAGCCAGCTGCAAACCTTGCACAATAATTTCACCAGCGCAACATTTTGATACACACCACACACACACCAAAGTATATATGACAAGTTTGTATATACTTTGGCTGTAGGAGCAAGCGAGAGCAACGATCGTAGCAACAATAAATATTCGAGTATTTGCCGCAACCCAAATGCTTCATGTGAAAACTTACTTAAAGGTGAGTTTTAACATATCCATGAAACGCACAGCCATTTTATGCAGCGAATGAAAACAGATTGCAACAGATTTCACAGCCCTACGCTTTGATTAGGCGCAGTTTTGGGGCAGCGAAAGTAAAAATTAACCGAAATCCACGAAGTTAATTAACAACACAATGGTTAACGTGCGACACGCGAATGCGAACCGCTCTGAACGAGAGTGGGTCAGCGACTGAGTGAAGTGAAGCGATCGCGACGCCAACGAAAACAATAAGAGAGAAGGAGGGAGTTGCTGCAAACTAAGTGGCTGAATTTAAATGAAAGCTGTTCTCAACAGTCAAGCACCTCGCATCAAATTCACACGCGCACTCTATCGCTCTCGCTCTCTTTCTCGCTCGGCCTAATTCTTTCCCGCTCGCTAAAGAGCTGCAAGTACGACACTCTGTTCGAACGGTTGTTGTGAGCGGCACTGTTATTTTGGACTGCACTGTGCTGAGAGCTTTGTGCTTGTATGGTCCGAAATGTCAAAGCTGTTCAGAAAAAGCTTTTCTAAATAAGCTTAAATGTTAACGAGCTTAATGGTGTAGATCAATGTTAAATAAGCTTCTGACGCTATCGCATTCCGTTAACTAATCGAAATGTTAACAAAAAACATATATTTTTTAATAATCATTCGAAAAAGTGGCAAGTGATTCCCACTTATGCACATAAACTAAACAATTATCCAGAATTTGAAAACAAAGTGAGCAAAAAATGAATTCAAATGAAGTAAATTCAAAACTCATTGAAAAATCCCCACGACACACATAAAAAATAAACCACCTTGAACACAAGCCGGAACATAAAATTAGACAACCCAAAAGTGATTAAAGCTACAGCAAAGTATAAATAAACAAATTCGAGTGCAAAGACCCCAAAAAATAACTACAGCTATGCGTATTGTGTGCAACAATAAATACAGTTACAGTTACAGTTACAGTTGGTCTGTTTTTTTTTTGTTTTGAACTTGAATTTTGAAGAGAATAAAATAGCTGCAGCTGGCAGTTATTTAAAACCAGTTTCGGCAGACTTGAATCAATGCAAATGCCAGACGCAGACACGCAGTCAGTTTGCTTTTGCTTTTAGCATTAATTAACAGATTTGTTGAAAATTTTAACAGTTTATTAGGTCGAAATATACACATCATAAATAGAGATTGTCTGGCATTGAGCGTTATCACTTGAGGAACTGACACCTCGTGGCTCAGGGTTAAATTAATACTAACAGTCATTGATCAATTAAGTACTTTCTATGATATATTAGCTGAGCAGAAATAATGCTTGGAATTTGGAAAACATTACAGGTTTTCTTGCGTGCCTCTCAAATGCTGAACAATTTAAACAAAGCTATTAGATTAATCATATCTCATTTAATTTAGTTTGCTATATTTATTAGCATTGTTTAAAGTTTTCGATGAGTAAGTCGCCATTAATTAGCGCTCTATTATTTTATAATTTGCTGGTAAATAGTCAATGACTAATTCGAGGAAGTTGCAAGATTGAAGCTCAAAGAAAATTTGAACTTTGATTCAACTTAATGTTTTATATAATCAATATCAAAATTGAAATAAACTTAAAATACAATACAAATATAATTGTAAAAAAATAAAATATATAATTCATATCTAATAATTATACTCGTTAAACCACAATCATTTTATGCCATAACAGTAGATCCCTACATAATTACTATACTTCTATATACTTCTAGGAATCACTATCTAAATAAGCTCTCAATAATTTGCTGATTGAACACCACAATGCTTAGAAATTGTTCTTCATCATGACAGCTCCCAATTATATATTTCATTATCAACTAAAATTATAGTCACACCTCCAAAAAAAAAAAAAAAAAAACCCAATTAACAACTTGCCAATATTGAACACTTGAACTTGTGATTGTTTATTGTGTTCGCTAACATTTATTGAAATTATCACTGAAGTTCAGAAACGCGTAAATTGCACATGGAAAAGAAATCGAGAAGCAAACCGAACTCATGATTCAGGCGATAAGGTAGGCGATAAGCTTTTAATGTAGCTGCTACAAATTAGAAAAAAGATGCGGCCGAATTACGTCACTGATAGTAGAGTGTTTACCCATACTTTGTTGTACAGGTGCTCTTTGTACGACATTTCGCTATAATGGCCCTCTTCAATTTAGGCACGTTTTCGATTTACGACCTAAAATGTTTCGCTATAATGGCAGAAAAAAAAACTGAAGCTGATATGAGGAACTCATTCAGTTGCAAGCAGAACCGACATTTGATGAAGAGTCAGAGCCGGTTGTATCCAAACGACTAACATCAACAAATTTGTCGAAAGCTTTTTCCTATTTCGAACAAGGAATAAACATACAAGGAATAAACATCCTTGAAAACGATCCTGACATCGAACTTAGCCATTAGCTGATATAGATCACAAAAGAAATAGACACGAAGCAAAGACAAGCAACGTTGGACAATTTTTTAAAGCCAGGCCCATCTTTACCTGCGTAAGGTGATCTGCAAGTTGCCATTTCTTCATTGTTTTCAGTCATTTAAAAGAAAATAATGTATGTATTATTATATATTACGTATTATTTTTATATAAAATGAAGTTGTTTCATTTTTGTTTATAGATTATTGTTGGTTTTTGGAGTCTATATAAATGTAATCGTTATGTACGTATTTTTGATTTAAATGAAATAAAAGCACAAAATGCATTTTGAATGATAAACTATGTTAAATCTTTAACAAATTTGGAGCCGATCCCATTGAATTTGTATATATTCGTATTAGAATAATTGATTCCCTATACGGCTTTTCGCTTTGGGTGTATAACACTAGGGATACTTACTTCGCCACATAATCGTAGTTCGTATAGATGCCCGTCTTTTGAGTGGGCAGCAATTTCAGTTTTCTCAGTGCAAACACGTATTTTGTCATTATTATTATTCTAGTCGTAGCTTGACAACTTTAGCAAAGACAATGAAAAACTTTAAGGGTTTCAATATATTTTAAATAGATTTTTTTTTCTTTATTTGAAATACATTCAGTTTTGCGTTTTTTTTTTTTTATTCTGTTCGATTCTCTTATTAAAATATGGATTTTTAATTTCTCTGTTTTTTTTTTTGTGTTTTTGTGACATCACATTATTTTTGAAGCTTATAGGAATTGAATAAAGCGAGCTTGAAACAATTCGCTCTTTTGTGGAATCTATCGAAAAAAACAATTCGAAACATTTTAGTTAAGCATTTCGTGCACTTTATAATTCAACATTTCAAGGTGTTTTCTTTTCTTTCTTTTGTTTAGTTGTTTTTTTTTTTGTTTTTTTTTTTTTGTCAACAGACACTTTAAACAAATTCACTTCGGCCTATGTAAATTTTCTAGTACTAGTTGTTAACAAGAATCATATTCCTAAAATATGTAAAACTTGGACTGGTACGAATAACCTTACGTAAAAAACAAATATGTTTCCAAAAATTAGATTATTATAAAAAACATTCACATATATTCCAAAAATACGACACATGTCGTTTATTAAAACTAAGCGTGGGATTTTTGTTTTTTGTTTTTTTTTTTTGATTCGTTTATCCAAAATTAAATATAGATAATTTGAATAATATTAGATGAGAGAGTTTTGTTTTGTGCGCGGAAGAGAATTGAACACCATACAATACAATCAGAATAAATCATAGTTATAAGGGGCGTCTTGACAGCCTTTTCATGTATGAAGTAAATATGTATATTTAGTTTTTATGCAGCACATTAGGAACACTGTTTATTTTTTACTTTTAACTATACATATATCAAATTCCTTAGCTGCATGCATCCGTAACGCGTTTATCAAAAGGTACTTCAGTTGCGACTTATATCATATCCATATGACCCTAGAACTAACCTCAATCATAATAAGTAGAATTGTGGGACTTTCGCAAACGCTGGAGCGCTGCAAGGCCATTAAGCATTAGAGACTTGGATCAAACTTGAACAGGCTTAAATCGAATTTCAGTGTTGGACAAAACTTAACAACAATTTAGATGATGGCTCTATCTAGACTTTAAAGCTACGCTTTCTTGCATTGTTTTCAACATAAAGCTAATGCTAATGCTAATGCTAACGCTAATGCTACCAAATAGCATTCGTTTCTTTCTTTGTTTGTTTGTTTGTTGCTCTTTTTTTTCACAGCAGCTCATCACGACGGAAGAAGCTCTCCCAGACCAACAGCTTGCGCAGCTCGGGCACATCGATAATCTTCAGATCATCGGATATATTAAGGCACTTCAGCTGTTGCTTGTCGATCGCCGCGGACGACACCGGCTGCCACAGCTCGGACTGCTCGGGATCGAAATTGGGATTGCCATATGTGGCAAAGTGTGTCCAGAGGCCAACCAATTTCTCAATGCACTTGTATTCCCTCGTATGGTTCTTCAGTTTGCGGGCCAGCGAATTGTAGAACAGATAAGACAGGTCGTCGCCGTGGCAGGTGCCACGCACCTTCTTGCCACAGCTGAGTATGCGCAGATGATTAAAGTGCTTCGAGTCAAAGTCAAAGCGATACAAATACGTCGGCGCATTCGGTGCGTGCTCCAAACGTGACAATACTGTGCGATAAATCGGGAACCAGAAATACTCGTGCGAGACCATCTGCAAAACCAACAAGAAGAGCACAAGTTGCAGATTACTTCGGGTGCATAAATACTCGTAATTGATCTCTATAAACTAAGCGAGTCTCTGGTTAATAAGCTGATCTCTATGAGCTAGCTTTAATATGTTGATCGTTATAAACTAGTCTCTAGAAATTCGGTTGATCTCTATACATTAGTTTCTAGTTAATAAATTGATCTCTATAAGCTGGTATCTTGGGAAGTAAATTCCTCATGGTCCTCTCTACAAATTTGTTTCTACTTAAAAAGCGGATCTCAATAAACTAGTCTCTATTACTCTCTATAATCTAGTCCCTCTTTAATAAGCTGATCTCTATGAATTAGTCTGTAGTTAATAAAGCATCTTTATAAGCTAGACATTAGTTAATAAAGCATCTTTATAAGCTAGTCGCTAGCAAATAAGTATATATACTTAAAGTAGCCTCTTAGGAAGTACTTTCGCATGCTTTTCTCTGTCAGTTAGTTTCTTTTTAATAAGTATATCGTTATATGTTGGTCTATCAGCTTCTTAGGAAGTACTTATGTCATGCGCTTCTTTATAAGCTAGTCTCTAGTTAATAAACTAAACTCTTAGTCGCTAAGGAAGGACTTTTCTCATTCTCCTCTCTATTAGGCAGTCTCCAGTTGGCAAGCTAAGCTCTACAAACTAGTCGCTTAGTGAGTACTTTCCTCATGCCACTCAAATGCTTACAGAATTTAATCATAATTGGTCTACTCTTTATACACGCACTTATATTTAAGTAGAAAAAAGGCTCGAAACAAGAATTGTTGTATACAAATGAGTAAAATAATAAAAATAAAAAACCCACTTAATAACCCCAATCATAAGCGGGGTCGACTATTTGTAATTTGTCTATTTGGTTATTCCCAAAAAGATAACAGCTTTGATAACGCTGTGAGTCACGCACCTGCAGATATTCGTGAAGCGTGTCCAGACTGGGTGTTTTTTCGCCATAGTAGCTTTGTCGCAGCTGCTCGCCGTAGTCCTTGCAGAGTTCGCTGTCCCGATCCATGTTCAGCTCGATGGGAACGACAAAGCGACAGTCGCCGAGCTCGTTGAGACACTTGGGATTCGTCTTGGTCTCCGAGTAGAGCAGCAGGCCCTCGTTCGAGACGCCGCCCACAATGAGAGGTATACTGTTTGACCAGGCGTTGCGCATCATGACAATGGGCTTGGTGGGCACCACACAGTGGCTGGTTACATACGGTTCGATGACGGGACCAAAGGAGAAGCCGATGCGTTCCTTTTTCTCATCATCGATGCACAGTTCGCCATTCGCTTTTATTATATCAGCGCCCTTGGTGTTCTTGAGGTACTCCCACACATCGCGATCCACATTCTCGCCCACATAGCCCGCCTGTACGGCCAGGCGATAAGGCCAATTGCGCTGCGGGGTCACCGCCCAGGGGGACAACGTGTTGCCGGACATGCAGATGGCCTTGTGGAAGAGGCCACGTGGCTCTGTGATCATCATGTAGTGCACGGAGGCGCTGCCCGCGCTATCACCAAAGATTGTAATGTTGCTCGAATCGCCGCCAAAACGCGAACAATTTGCTTTGACCCAACGCAACGCCAGCACCTGATCCTTGAGGCCAGCATTGCCGGGCACATCGAGCTCGGGATCTTCCATGCACAAAAAGCCTGTAAAAGCCGTAAAATATATTTTCATATTAACTTCAAGTCCTTAGGAAGCTCGGTTTTAAAACTAACCTAAAGGTCCCAGGCGATAGTTTATAGATATAACGACGACATCCTCGCGCAGCAAATAGTCGGGACTGTAGCATTCCCGGGATGCCTCGCCAAACTGAAAGCCACCTCCATATATCCAGACCATGACTGGCATCGGTTTTGTGGGATATAACTAAGGAAAATAATAAGAAATTATAATTTATTTTATGTTTTATGTTTTATTATGTTGGTGTTTATTTTACGTTTTATTTTTTACATTTATATAAATAAATCTTTTCTCAAAGTTGCTCATAATTCTTGCTAAATTTTTTATACAAAAGAAAAAAATTGTTTGAATGAAAATCATTTTTATTTTGTGTTTTTTCCCCCTTTGTGTCGTTTTAAATGTTTCTATTTTTTATTATGTATATTTTTCTTTACTCACATTCTTTGTGTAGACATTGAGATATAGACAATCCTCGGAGCCATCCGTCATGTCAAATACAAAATGCTTCTGCAACGGCTTCGGGCCTTGAGATGTACAGCTTCTGACCTCAGTCCATATCTCGGGGGGCTGTGGTGCCTTGTAGCGCAGCTCCCCGATGGGCGGCATGGCAAAGGGTATACGCTCGAAACTGAAATATGATTGACCATAGATGGACTTGCGTTTGACTCCCTTGATGGGACCATATGTGGTGCTGACGACAGTCTTTTCGCTAGTGCGATATCGACGCTGTTGGACCTTGAAGTCGACCATTCTGTAAAGATAATTTAAAGGCAAGTTGTAGTTTTGTAATACTAAACTGTAAAATTACAGCAACCGGAAGTATTTGCTTTTGTTATTTATTGTACTAAATAAACAAACAGGGGCATGATTACATAACATTATTTTCTATTTTGCCCTAAGGCTTTTTAGTCACATTTTCATTCAAACACTTTTGTCATGAATCAGTCACCACAAACGATTCGTTTTGCGCTATCTATTTTTGTATTGATAGTTTGTCTTTTCTCTATTTGGCAAAATACATATAAATATAAGCAGACACACTGATAAGGCCAATTTCTTATCAGGCCAATTCCTAGTCGCGAGCCAGGTGTTAGCCATATATCAGCGAACCAAAAAATTAAAACTCGACGACTCAAAGCGTATCAGTCGAATATTTTTTCGCGTTAGCCATTCTATAGGATTGTATTTGGGTAAATTTTAGGTAGCACATACATATATGAAAAAGTTGTATAAGACACAAACAATATAATTGTTATCAATTTTTATGCATATATACTGCTTTATTTAGATTAAGAAAATAAATTAAAATACAATTTCCGAGCGTATCCAAATTACATTAGAGTACAAATAAAAAGTAAATATAAAGAGAGTTCACCAAATAAAAGGCAAGAGAAAATAAAAAAAGAGCGATTTGAACTTGAAAATTAGAATATAAAATTAGCAAAGAATATTAATAGAAATAAATAAAAACTACATAAAAATATTGTTAAACTTTAACATGGCTAAGGTGTGCTTGCCATATTTCGCTGTTACCACAACAAGTTTTAAATCATTAAAATATTTCTGAAATTATCTGTACTAAAATGTTTTATAGTTTTCTCTCGCAAGTATCTCTTTGGCTAATTATAAGTCTCAAGGTCATCGCATAATTGCGCATATAGGTAGACATATATTTATTTCTATTAATTATAGATATATGTATATATTTTTTTGTAATAGCCAAGTCAAATTATAGCTGAAGCTAAACTACTTATTAAAGTTATGGACACAAATATAATCAGCTTGGGCTGAAATTGGCAAATAACTACATTATGTGAGCTCAACAAGTGAAACGTGCATTAATTTTCAAGCGAATCTAAAGTATTCGGAATTATAAAGCAGCAAAGCAATAGCAACCAACAAAAAAAAAACATAAAACCTACGCATGTTTTTTGTTGCTTTTTTATTTTTTGCATATGGCAGCAAAAGCGACAAAAAATATGTCATATTCATTCTTATTAATAGCCGCTCGAGCTGTTGTATATTTCGTTATTGTCGCTGGCTCTGTCTTATAAGGCAATGATTGTGATTTTTCGACTATCGCCACAGCGGCCCTGAACTCTGCCTTAGAATTATTGCTGAAGAGCCAGCCCAACGCTTAAGCTAATGCCCAGCAGCTTCCTATAAAAGGAAAGGTCAATACAAATAATGTTTATGACGGGACGCGTGTCATAAAAAAAAAGAAAAAGAAAAGAAAAACAGAAAACATCATTTGCTAATGTTGACATTGCGTGTGGCACAGTAATTTCGCTTTAGGCTCCAAAGCGGCACCAATAGGGACACACCTAAATTGGCCAATTGGGCTATTTTGTGCAAATTGTAGCGGCCCTCTCGTAAATTTGTGAGTTCAACATATTGTTATGAACAGCTAATTAAATGCCGATCGCAGAGCCATATTTATACAATCCGAAAGTTCATCTGGGTCTATCGTATTTAAGAGGACGTTCCATTCAAATACGTTAATTTCACTCAATTTAATTTCTCTTGTGATTAATGTGCTTGTCTTGGCTGGCGAAAAGAATCCATATATATATATGTATATATATAGACATATGTATAATACTTTTTAGGCAAAATGAAGCAAAAGATAAATAAACAATTTCGTGTTGACGACAGCAAAAAAAATAAAAAAAGGGAGAAAAATAAAGAACAGAAGCCCAACAGACAAATAAACCAAAGACATCGGCATGTACCACAGAAATTAACAGCTCATATTTGCTTGCATATTTATTGTGAGTGCCACATTTCCAATTTCTGCAATCTGGCATTGCTTGACAGACACACACATATACACACACACACACACACAATATGAGGCATTCCAAAGCATTTTGCCAGCTGAAACTTGATTTCAGCTAAATAGTATAATAATCTTGTATGAAAGATCAAAAATATTGAGCCATAAGCGGAAGCTATTCAATTCTATGTCATTGGCATGAGAATAATAAGAATAATAATAAAAATTATAATAATATTATTAATAATTATAATTGTAATAAAAATAATTGATTTATTTGTTTATTTTGTATATATATATTATATAAATAAACTCTGCACATTCAGTCACTTTGTCTAAAATGTTTCTATATATTCAATATTTGCCCCATGAAGTTGAACTTTTCAAATCTAGTTGTCTCTCGTCTCTGCGCTCAAATAAATAACTACACAATTTAGTCGGTTGCTCGATTTAAATCACAGAAATTTTTTTAAATTGTATAATACCCAATATTAATATTCCAATTTGCCTTTAAAAATGCTTTTGGCACGTCTAGCGCAAGGCTTGCCAGCCCGTTCGCCGCGTCTGCTCTGCAGAAATCCCCTCAGCAACGGCCATGGATTCTGGAGATCGACGCTGCAGTCGCCACGTTGCCGACCTAATACAATCAAGGCTGAGGCACCAAATCAATTTAACTTGTTGCCTAAGCGTTCGAATGGCAGACGCAACTTCTCCGAAGATTCGCAGAACAACAATCGCACCAAGTTGGAGCAGCGTACGAGGTCGCCCAGCCTGAAGGAACGCCTGATGGGGCCGCCCGGCGAGAATGCCTACTCCATGGGCAAGGGAGCAGCAGCTGGAGCCGCTCTAATGGGCATTGTCGCACTTTGCTATTACGGCTTGGGTATGGCCCAACAGCCCAGTATCTATGATCATACGGTGATGTGGCCGCAGTACGTGAGGGATCGCATACATGCCACTTATGCCTACTTTGGTGCCTCATGCGCCCTTACAGCTGCCTCGGCAGCATCTGTCTTCCAATCGGAGCAGCTGCTGCAGCTGATCATGCGCAGCGGTTGGATAGCCACCCTGGTGACCATGGGCCTAGTTATGGGCACGGGCGCCCTGACTCAGGCCATTGAATATGAGCCGGGCCTGGGACTCAAGCAGCTGGCCTGGGCATTGCATTGTGGTGTTATGGGCGCCGTCATTGCGCCCATTTGCTTCATGGGCGGTCCCATTCTGGTGCGTGCCCTGCTCTATACGGGCGGCATTGTGGGCGCCCTGTCGACGGTGGCCGCGTGTGCACCCAGCGACAAATTCCTGCACATTGGCGGCCCATTGGCAATTGGATTGGGTGTCATTTTTGCCTCATCGCTGGCCTCGATGTGGCTGCCACCGACGACAGCGCTTGGCGCCGGCTTGGCCTCTCTGTCCCTGTACGGCGGCCTGATCCTCTTCAGCGGTTTCCTGCTCTACGACACACAGCGCATCGTGAAGGCAGCTGAGCAGCAACCGGAGCACGGATACGTTCGCTATGATCCCATCAATAATGCATTGGCAATCTATATGGATGCCCTGAATATCTTTATACGCATAGCCGTTATTTTATCATCGGGAGATCAGCGCAAGAAATAGCTTAATGGAGAGTGGAAGGCCGACATTTCGAAATTGCTTGAGTATTTTTTCACTGATTACAGTTTTGTTACAAAATTAAGTCTTCAATTTGAGCTTTGGCACATTCGAAATACACACCATAAAAGAGAGACAGCTTCTAGATAGTGTATCTTTAAGATGCCACTATATAATAAAAATAAAAACAAGATTAACAACCTGAACACTTAGACTTCCTTATTGTCAGTAATATTCCATTGTTTAACTTCCACTTTTATGAAGTGTCAGTGAACCAGCAGCGTCTAGTGAACATTAGGTTGGACTAAATATTTTTTACTGTAGTCTTCACGTGAATAAAGTATTTCATTGTTGGTAATATACTCGTTTTTGTGTTTCGATTTCAACTAATGTCATTGTAAGTAAGTAAATATGAAACATTAGCACGTTTGCTCAGAGCTCTACACTACGACTTAATACAATTTGCAACTATAACAATGTAATCATTGTCGTCTCTGAGTTGCCTGATAAGCTGACTTTCCCTGCTCGCTCTCAAAAGGAACAACGTGTAATAGATTATATTAAAATGATTGCATTAATTTTCCATACTCAGACTCAGCAGTCATACCAGTCCCCAGCTATCACCCCTTGTTTGGTTATCAGTCGTGTGTGGAGCAGACAGGCGAATCCAGCGCGTAGTCTAAACAAAAAACACGCCAAACTCATTCACATACTAAAAATTGTATTACAGCCAGCATATAAAAAAAAAAGTATAAAAATAATATAAAAATAAGTAGACAGCAAAATGTATTCCACATAAAGACCCACATCACTGGGCAGTCAGGAAACGGGAGAAGGAAGAATAAAAGTTATGGACACTATTTGTTTAGTCTTTTCATGTCCATGTTCTGTGGTTATAATCGCATCTGTCAGCGCGCCTTTTGACCTTGGCCGGACTGACACGCAAGGCTACCAGGCGAAAGCTTCGCCAAGAGCTTTCTGTCAGTCGCTGCTTATGAATGAATCGGGGGCACCCAAAATCCCACCTCCAGAAAGCTCTCAAGTGGCGCAAGGATAAAACACAAGGTAAGAGGCACTTGCATTGCCAGCTCTGATGTCAGAGAGGCAGACAGTTGGGTCAAGGAGTGTTTAGCGCAGCAAGTGCTTAAAGCATTTCGATTTTCACTAACTAATTGCAGTTGAAAATGGAGAAAATTCGCGTAAAATTGCCACAATTTTATTTTAAATCATTTATGAATTGAATGTCATTCACTTAAGTTTATATATATTTATTTATATAACAGAGTAGAACTTGTTAAATAAACCACTATGCAAATAGATATTTGAATAAATCGCTTCTTTCTAAAGCAGATGTACAGAGAAATCTCTGATTTGTTTTCCCAACTTATATTTTTATTTATTTATTATTTATATAAAAAATCCAAATATATCATCTTATAATTTTTAGTGTGATTGATGTTCAGCCAATTGGTATTTTATTCATGAGTATATATTATTTATGCCGGCTAATAATACACAACGTACGCCTCAATTAATCAACACATCTTAGGGTTTTTCCGGGTGCCAGATTTGCGTAAATTGCCCAATTTTAAGCGTATGTTAAGCTCATCAAAGTCGCATCTAATAAAACTCATAACGTTTTAGCAAAAGAAAAAAATCTCAATGAATAGAAGCATAGGGAAAATATAAAATTCTATTATAAAAAGATAATATATAGGTATGTACATATATATATAATATACTTGTTGCTGTGGCAATTCTTTTATGCTTTATTCATTCAAGCCACTTTTTTTCGCTCGCTATAAAAGCTTTACAAATATATACAAGACGCGACAAAATTAAATGAAATTGACGAGCACACACAGATATGTGTGTACCTAAGCGTATGTGTGTGTGGGTGTGTGTGTGTGTGTGTATGTGTGTGTGTGTGTGGGTGTGTGTGTGTGTGTGTCGCAGTGGTGTGGGCGATCGACAAGAGCGACAGCGACAAATGCACGTAAAATGTTGATGTTGAGAGCAACACACGGCGTATGAGCAATGTCGCGAAGACTGAACAAAAAGATATATATATATATGTATATATATATTTTTTTTGGCACCCAGAGCAAATATGAGGAAATTTGTGTATATTCAGCGTTTAGAATGTATAAAATTGCCAAAAAGATAAAAAAAAACAAAGCGAAATTGAAACAATAAAACGAAAATGTTTACAATAATGTTCTAAGACGTATTGTGGGACATTTTACGATTCACAACATATTTTGGCGAGGTCAAACTCTAAGTTTTTCAATGTTTAATCAAATTTGATCAAACATCAAACGTGCGCCAAGAATTGTGTGAGAAACTCAATCAAACTGAAGGTTAATGGGTGCAAGTGATGATGCTGCATATATTTCTATATATACATATACATATCTCAAATGTTCTCAATTGACAATGAAATTAAATTATGTCCACAAACTAATGATTCAAGAATTGTGTGTAAATAAATTGACAATTTAAAGTTTGACCGTTGACCGTTGAGTTTTCTGCAAAATTTATTGAACGCGCTATATGAAAATAAATAAAGAGTGAGTGGTCTGCTCACATGCAATTGCATAAATCACGCCAAACAATGAATATGCTAATTTAACAGTGAAATAAAACCAGCAGCTGGCTGCATGTTGCATAAAAGTGTTGCACGAAAGCAGAGTGCTAAAAAAATAGTTACAAATAAAAAGTGATAAATTACTATGAAATTGATGTATGCGTGAAACTTATTTGAAGAAACAATTCAATGAAATTCGAAAATATCTTGCCAGGTGGCACCATAATAAAAATTATCTTTTTTTTTTTATTAGCCCAAAATTCATAGAAACTGTTGTTGCGAATCGGAAGTAAAATGTGGAGAATTAATTCAACAATAGATTCGCTAAGAAGCTATCTAAAATCAGTTTGAAAATATCAAGCAAATAAAAAAGTTGTCATTCAAGGTCCACTCTTAAAAATAACTGATAACTAAATACAGCTTGGAAATATCAACCATATAAAGAATTTCATTAGGTTCCCCTTTAAAAATAATTGATTAGACATGAAACTCACCAACAAAAAAGAAGACAGAAGATTTTCAAAAATATATTGCCCGTTTTAAATTTGGATTATAGTTAGGGGATATTTTATTGGGGTTTCCAGCACGTGTATGTGCTTTAGGGCTGTTTACTCTAAACTTGTTCTACTGCTCATTCAATTTCACAATGTGTTGCTTCCCATATGTGTGTTCAGCAAACCAAACCTGTTGCTCTATTGCTCTGTTTCTCGGTTGTTTGGTTGCTGATCTCATGGCACAATCTCTTTCAAGTTCAGTCAAACATTTTGCTCTGACTCAGCTTACGTTTTTTTTTTTTTTTCTTTACAAAAGCGAAAATTTACATAAACCTTTTTTTTTCTATTTTTGTAGTTTTTATTATTTTTGCAACAGCTGCGGGCGCTCTACCTAATTATTTGAGCTGTTTAAGTGCCGGCAAAGCTAGAGACAAAAAAAAAACACAAACAAAAAAAAAACAAATAAAGAGACCAAAGTACCGCTCACAATGGGCGCCTCTAATGACAGCTGGGCGCTGTGCGCTGGGAGCCAGCGTGTTTATGTTTGCTCGTTATGTCGACAAATTACAGAGTTCCCGGTAATCAATAGAACGGGGCTGGATAACAAGAGACAACGTCAGCACAATGTGGACACAAGGTAGCTGTGACATGAGCTGTCAGGAAATTGGAGCTCCTGTTGTGCGCAAACAGTGTTGTTCTTATTGTTCCTGTTTTTGTTGTTCCTGTTTACGTTCAGAGTCCTGGCCACAGGACAAATGGCAGCCGTTTAGTTAAAAAAAAAACCCAATTCATTTAATTTGTGGACACACGCGTAAGCAAAGCATTTTTGTTTGCCATATAAATATTTTATCACTGGGATTTGGCTGAGTTATATTTGCGTTTCTTATCTGGGCAAATATACTTATATATATATATACATACATATATGTATATATATATAGATATATTATTTGATAAATTTAAACTTAACTTCTGATATGCTGCCTGTGTTTTCTGGGATTCCATTCAATCGATTTTTATATAGACAGTTGTCTTAATGATACCAGACTGTCTGAGTTTCAAGCGGAACCTATCAAATGCTGTAATGTGATGGGAATTTCCTGAAAATTTCAACTTAAATCTCTAGAGCGTATGAACGCAATACTCAGCGAATGTCAGAGCTAAAAATATATATCTTAGCAAGCCGGATCTTTTATACCACAAGAATGGTAGATGTACTGGAGTTCCCCTGTTTCTCTTGTGGTTAAATTGATTTTCGGCTGTAAAGCATTAATTATTATTTTGTCTGTTATTTTTTTTTTGTATAGATGACACAATTCGCTGATGTCATTCAACTGGCCGAAAAGGCAGCCATAATTAAACGGCTTCAGTCAAGTACTAGACACTACTTTAATATCAAAAGCGAAATGTGTCTTGATGATCTAACTAAATTAATTAAAATTCATTTTTGTGCAGTGTAAATCAATTAGTTCGCTCAATATCATGACTGCATTATACCCAATTCCCCCATATAAAAGATATATATATATATTTAAATTAGATATAATTTTATATGCTTACTTGAGTCCAATTTTGATTTGATCAAATGCAGCCATGGAAGACATTTTGTTGTTGTTTTTTTATTTATTTGTTTCTCTGGCGTCGTTAAGTGAATTATAAAAAAACGGTTTTATTGTATTAATTTAAAATAAGGCCTGATTCTCGATATTTATTGATTCTCACAATTTGATCAAAAGGTATTTTGAGTTTTTACTTTTGTTTTTTTTTTTTTTGTTTATTTATTTTTTTATCAGCCAGCTGTTTGCTTGACCTTGTTTTGCCTGATTGAGAACAAGAAAACTGGCTGCTGCAGCAGCTTCACCACTGATAAGCAGCTTTCGCTGACACGTCCTGCGCAGTTATACACGCACACGCACGCACACACACGCAGGATAATTTCACGGCGAAAAAAGCACACATACACAGTGAAATTTTTGCTTATCACATAACTTTTGCTGGCACAAACACAAATAAAGCACACACACGGAGAGTTGCTGTTGTTGCCAGGCGTCACGCAATTAAATTAAATTATAATATTTTATAATTTGACTTGGTTGTTTTACTATTAGCAAGCTGTTGCTTCTGTTCAGTTAATGAGTAGCCTTCCAGTAACGTTTCGCGCTACGTCCGTTTGGCATGAAGACAGCTCGTCAACTGTTTTGAAAGCACACCAATGAAAAGCACCGCGCCAAAGTTCTAAGCACATGGCACACGCAAAAGCTCTCTGACTGAGCATATACCGCGTGCCAGACGACGACTCGCTTGCTTGCTCTGCTTCCTCTTCTTGCGCTGCGTAGCAGTAAGTTCTTGTTATTGTTTATGTGTGCGAGTGTGCAAAGTAAAAGTCATGCTGCAAAGCATTCATCACTAATTGTAGCTTTGCCCTTCTCTCCCATATCTCTTACTATTTTACTCACTATACTAAATGTCGCATAATAATATAACTGAGTCAGTGGTATTCACTGCTAGGCCTCACGTTTATTACACAGGGCTTATCAGTCTCTACTGATAAATTGCGAAAATTATGTTGTTAGCTCTCCATTTGCTTGTTCGCTTGCTTTCTGTAATCTCTCCAAAAAAATACACAAAAATAAAACATATTAATCATAGAGATATGACGAAATGACGTAAGTACATAAATGAGTCATTGGGCTTACAGGGAACACCTATCGGGTAAATTAATGGGTTCGAACCAATGACTCTGCTGCTAGTAAATGAGTTAAGGTAAAGTTCAAATACGCATAATAATCACAACAATTTCAGTCATTACCAGAAATCATTATTTTAAGTAATTCCCAAATACTATTGTGCCTGAAAATCGTGTTTATTAACTTAAAATGTGAGCTTTTCACTTCAACAACTAATAAGTAAATAGAGTAGGGTATTTGTTGCTCCTAATCAAGTAATAAACTGCATGTTTTTGTGCTTTTATTTTATGCTTGCGCCAAAAGCTTTTTGCGCAATGTAAACAAAGAATGAGTACACAACAAAAGAACAGCTGACTGAAGGACTAAGCCATGAGCTCCTGTTGCTGCAGGCAGCAGCGCTGAAAAGCTGTCGCGATAGCTTTTGCCTACACTGAGCTTACGAACGTGTGTGTATTAATATTTTTTTTAAATAGGTCAGTTGAAATTGCATTGAGCAATTATAGTTAGGTATGGCCAGTTACGGTTAGTTAGTTAAGGCACGCAACAATGCTAATCGCAAAATCGCTCAATATGCGGTTCACACGGAATACGCTCTGAGCTCGCTGCCTTAAATTAATGTTGATTAAACTTAATCAAAATAATGATGTGCAGAGAAATTCCGCTTCCAATTGTTTCTCACTGTGTCTCTCTATTAACTAGGCGAATAAACAAATGACCTTCGGCAAAATGCTAGCTGCAAAAAGCGCCGGCCCGTTATAACATAAACTCTCGTGACTTATGTTGTCATGTGGCTTTTCAGCTGTCGCTCACCGAGCTTTTCAAGAGCAACATGCGAACATGATCGGTCGCTCTCCTTCTCGTTCTCTCTCTCTCTCTATCTCTTCCTTTGTCTTTTGTTCTCGCCGTTGCTCTCTGTGGACGATCTCGTGCTCAGCGCTTTTTGCACGTTTTCTGCCCGTAATTCATTTAAATCAATTTAAATTTGCGTCTATTTCTAGCTCAGTTTGCACATTGTTGGTTTCTAAGTGATTTTGATTAATAAAAGTTAAGCTCTTCCTTCGCTGTATGTCGAGATTTTCACATTTTCTCTATGTGCGTTTTTTTTTACATTTATTTCGTTTTTGTATACTTTGTTATCTGATTGTTGCCATCTGTTTGGCACCGTTCCGAAATCAGATTTCTTTATACTGTGATGTGAATTCCTAAACATCAACCAATTGTGTTACGAATCCAATTAAAATTGGCAAAGAGGGTGTAATGGAATTGTACATAAGTATATAAAAGACAGAAGGAAACAAATCCAAACCCATATAGTATTTATATATACATATATATATAGAGCTTAGTCCAGGGTATCACCTTGTCGAGCTCCTTCTTAGTTTTTTTTTTTGCTGTATATAGTAATTATTGATATGGCTCTATATGGTAATTTTTATTTAAATGAACTATGTATGTTTATAACAAAAGTTGATTTTTCTATTATTATGAAAAAACAAGAGAGAGTCGGGCGTAACCGACTGCGAAATACATTGATACCATAAGTTAGTTGAGCAGATAACAAATAACAAAGAACAGGGTGGGTGTAGCCAGGAATTACTGTCCAAGTTTGCCTTACAAATTGCGGTAGATATAAGCTAATAACGTTTCTTCGAAGCTTGGTTGGAGCTACGGTTACTATTAAATTACGTGAGATATGAGATTTTGAAAATGTTGTGGGAAGCAGTGGGCATGGTCCAAAAAATTATAAGAGAAACTTCTTAGTAATCTTCCTTCCAAGTTTGGTAACTTTAGCTCTCAGCGGCTGGAGGCGTGGTCCAAAATGTTGTGCCCGGACTTTGGAAGGGTGCTCTAGCAATACACCTTTCAAATTTGATGACTCTAACTTTCAAAGCAAGCAAGAATGGGGGCAGGAAGGCCCCTAACAGGACCAGAACCGTATTGTGGCATAGGGAGGCACACTATACGACTGGAACTTAGAAACGAGGAGAGGCAGAGACGGCAACAGAGCTGGTCGGAGACAGTAGGACTCCGACAAGGCAGATGTCTCCTAGGCGGTTATAATCTTGTTCGATTTAAACAGATTATAACCATGGGAAACAACAGCCTTAGGATACTTACCGGTCTATTGACAGGACACTGTAGACTAAGGAGTCACCTGACAAAATTGGGTATGTACAGTAGAGATCTCTGCAGGTTTTGTGAAAGAGAGGAGGAATCCTTGATGCACATCCTTGCAGAATGTGTCGCCTTAGTCAGAAGAAGAAGCAGCATCCTAGGGGCACATGTCTTGAATGGCAAAGACATAGAAGACCTCAACCCAACAAAGATCCTTACGTTCATACGGGAGTTGGGGCTGATGGAGGAGCTATAAGCTCAGAAGGGGTACAATATATCAAATAGGTCGCGGTGCAGCTTCCCCAATAATAATACTAATAACTTTCAAAGTGTGTGCGAAATATGGTCTTATCGATTTACATTAACAGCCAGGTTTAGGGAGGCGGCAAGGGCGTGGACACCTATGACACCTTCGGTATCAAAGTATGATAAAATTTAAAATTAAATTAATATTAATAGATAAGATATATTTACCTCAGTTGTCACACTCCGAACATTTTCCCGAAAATCGCAAGTGAGTTCTAAAAGAGCTTGCGGGTTGCTGACGAATTGTAAGGATCATGAAGATTTCTTTTGACTGTGATTGCCCTTCCAAAAATATCGAAGTTGTATTTTATCGAATTTTGAAAATAATCGTCTGACTACTTGATAATTTGCTCTAAATGGAGCTGCATCTCAACCATCTCCCTTGCAGCAACCACCTGAGATCTCTCAGACATTCCTATGTCTGAATTGGAAGTGTGAAATTATAAAATTACAATTATAACATAAAATAAATAAGTAATAAATAATAATACCAAAATAAAATAAAAATGCAGTTTAATCAATTTTTGTATGTATAATAATAATAAAATATGCAACTCAAAATATTCCACACAATCTTTATTAATTTTTAAGCTACAAATTTTTCTCTGAATAGGCAGAAGAATATGTATATTCTCGTAGAATATCAAATTTTGATTATTGATTATAGTCTGAGTTTATCTCGTCTTAAATTTTCTTTGATTCTGTCATTAAAGTAATTCATATTAATCAAATAATATTTATTCATAATATGAGTTAGGGAGTATATATTTTTTTCTCCTTTTTTTAATATGACAATAGGTTCTCCCAAAGTCTTCTGATACGTTTGCACATTGATTTCGTTAAAGTTGTTCAAGCAAATCGGTCGCACTTTTGCCGAGAGTACAAATGGACTTATCACTTTCAGAAGTGCTAAAGGATTACTGTAATTAAAAAATGTATTAGTTATGGTATATAATTAGTATATTAAATTCATTGGCTTACAATTTATCCAACTCGATACTGGCAATATTACTGGTTTCGTAGCCGTGTTCTACCCCTGGAAGGAATGTAACCGAATGATTGCCCAGGACTATTACATAGTTAATAGGTAAAATCGGATGTCTTGAAAAGCATTCGGCCGCAGTCAACACATAAAATGGATCAATAATTGCGCCCAGGCAACGAAATACATATGTATGCCCCAATCGCTCGAATACACTAATAAGCCATGGAAATTCATCAACTGTATTTAAATATCTGCCGCAGTCGGGAATGCATTTCATTTTCCCATGTTGTTGGTTGCTTCCACTTGTCAGCTTAACCCATTTTGCTTCAATATCACAGATGCGCTCACTTTGTGCAATGGTACCACTCGACTTATAGCCCGGAGCACACTGGACGATTGCTCTGCTGCCCACCACTAATGGGTCTGAGACACAGTCGATGATGTTATTGTCATTACTACAAGAAGCTCGAATACTGGGATCATTTATGATCGTATGACGTCTGCAAACCCTCAAACATTCTGACCATGGTGCCTTCCACTGACCATTGTCGCAAGTATTCACATCGTCGCCCATGAGGAAGTGGTTCTGAGCACAGCACAGGCGCACAGTGGTCTGATGAGAAACGGTTCCGTCGCCCATATATGGAAGGCCGTTGTACATGGTCCTTAGCCGCAGGGCAGTTCCCGTCACATTGCAACGCTTTCCAGTATTCTGATTATTGTGAGGAGTAGTTGTAGTTGTTGTCATTGGCATAGCGCCGAGCTGCCTAGGTTCCTTGGACCACTCTTGATTTGAGAGTATATTATGCCTTTTTTTGCATATGGCATCCAACTCATCGGAGCCGTCGTGACAGTCGATGATGTGATCGCATAACGCTGATTTGGGAATACAGGCGCCGTAGTTACAGCTAAATGAGCCTGCAGGGCATGGCGTTCCAAAACAAAAATCTTTTCTCTCATCCGATTTATCGCGACATTGTGCAACACTATCACACAGCTGGCTCTGAGGCAAACACTCTTTGGATTCCTTACATTCAAATTGCTCTTGTTCTTCATTGCTGTAATTAGCAATCAATCATCAATAAAGAATTAGGTTGGAGCTTTTTGTGGCACTTACAGACAATTTCCACGAAGTATAGTATACGCAGAATCCTCCAATGGGGTACAGTCCAGCCAGTGCTCATCGGTACCATCCCAGCAATCGAGTATGCCGTCACACATCTTGGAGCGCTTGAAACAGGCGCCGTAGGCGCAGCGTCTTTCTGTACAGTTCAAATCATGGCATTGCACAAATGTCTCATCACTGCCATCTTGACAGTCCTTAGACAAATCGCACTTGAGAGTAGCACTTATGCACTGCCCATTGTCGCATTGGAATTCGCCATCATAACAGTGATTTTGTTGTTGTGCATCTGCGCAGGCTGTAAACAAAATAAAATAAAATAAAATAAATAAATCTTGAGTTTAGAAACTCTTGACACAATTTGAATAAATATTACCGATGTTCAGGCATAGAAGTAGCAAGAAAATGTCAAATACTTCTCTATTCATAGCTTGAAACATGGAAGTGCTGCTGATAACAACTTTAGAATTATTAATTTAAATATGATTTATAATATTCCGGTCCGTTCATATGACGACTGTTCGCGTTCGACTTTCTTCGCGTACTGGGTTTCAAAAATGAATTGCGCAATTGATATCGAATCCCTATATAGCATATAGCATATAGCACATAGCAAACAATACACAGTCAAGCCCATATACTAATCTCAAATTGCCAATTAATTTAAAAACTTATTTGGACGCCGAACCTTGCAAAAGGTATTTTAATTTTGTTGTGCAGTTTGCAGCACATTAAATTAGATATGGTCAAGTCCGTTCACTCAGAGTTGGGGCTATCTTCATTTAATTTAGAATATATTTTATTTTAGAAAAACGTATTCAAAAAATTTCTTAGAAACAATCGGTCAAGTTTTTAAGTGTTTTGTATATTTTTCATATTTGATCGATGCCATCTGCGTGTGCATCACGGATTCAAAATAGTATTTATTCGTACAGTGTATTTCCCAGCATCGTCAAATAAATTGGCTGATAATTGGCTCATATTTGTATGTGAACTTTACACTTTGCTATTAAACAGAAAACAAAATTGAAATCGTTTTGCTAAAAAAAAAAAAAATATATATATATATATATATATATATATATATATATATATATATATTTCAAGAATGAACACTATTTTATGAGAAAGATATTCTATGTAATACATGTTAAGTGTTTAAGAAGCCACAGCAGTCGCAGCAGGGGCATTTGAGTAGATAATGAACTGATTGATAAGAACCAAAAACAGACAAATTGTAAAATGACCTTTGCACTGGTCAGAATGACCCCCTGCTCTTTCAATACAAAACGTCGATAAGTACCATAAGTGAACATTGTTATGCTTTTTAAGGCAAACATTTTTTATAAAAAGCTTTTTGCGCAATGTAAACAAAGAATGAGTACACAACAAAAGAACAGCTGACTGAAGGACTAAGCCATGAGCTCCTGTTGCTGCAGGCAGCAGCGCTGAAAAGCTGTCGCGATAGCTTTTGCCTACACTGAGCTTACGAACGTGTGTGTATTAATATTTTTTTTAAATAGGTCAGTTGAAATTGCATTGAGCAATTATAGTTAGGTATGGCCAGTTACAGTTAGTTAGTTAAGGCACGCAACAATGCTAATCGCAAAATCGCTCAATATGCGGTTCACACGGAATACGCTCTGAGCTCGCTGCCTTAAATTAATGTTAATTAAACTTAATCAAAATAATGATGTGCAGAGAAATTCCGCTTCCAATTGTTTCTCACTGTGTCTCTCTATTAACTAGGCGAATAAACAAATGACCTTCGGCAAAATGCTAGCTGCAAAAAGCGCCGGCCCGTTAAAACATAAACTCTCGTGACTTATGTTGTCATGTGGCTTTGCAGCTGTCGCTCACCGAGCTTTTCAAGAGCAACATGCAAACATGATCGGTCGCTCTCCTTTTCTCTCTCTCTCTCTCTCTCTCTGTCTCTCTCTCTCTCTCCCTTTGTCTTTTGTTCTCGCCGTTGCTCTCTGTGGACGATCTCGTGCTCAGCGCTTTTTGCACGTTTTCTGCCCGTAATTCATTTAAATCAATTTAAATTTGCGTCTATTTCTAGCTCAGTTTGCACATTGTTGGTTTCTAAGTGATTTTGATTAATAAAAGTTAAGCTCTTCCTTCGCTGTATGTCGAGATTTCCACATTTTCTCTATGTGCGTTTTTTTTTACATTTATTTCGTTTTTGTATACTTTGTTATCTGATTGTTGCCATCTGTTTAGCACCGTTCCGAAATCAGATTTCTTTATACTGTGATGTGAATTCCTAAACATCAACCAATTGTGTTACGAATCCAATTAAAATTGGCAAAGAGGGTGTAATGGAATTGTACATAAGTATATAAAAGACAGAAGGAAACAAATCCAAACCCATATAGTATTTATATATACATATATATATAGAGCTTAGTCCAGGGTATCACCTTGTCGAGCTCCTTCTTAGTTTTTTTTTTGCTGTATATAGTAATTATTGATATGGCTTTATATGGTAATTTTTATTTAAATGAACTATGTATGTTTATAACAAAAGTTGATTTTTCTATTATTATGAAAAAACAAGAGAGAACGTTGCAGTCGGGCGTAACCGACTGCGAAATACATTGATACCATAAGTTAGTTGAGCAGATAACAAATATCAAAGAACAGGGTGGGTGTAGCCAGGAATTACTGTCCAAGTTTGCCTTACAAATTGCGGTAGATATAAGCTAATAACGTTTCTTCGCAGCTTGGTTGGAGCTACGGTTACTATTAAATTACGTGAGATATGAGATTTTGAAAATGTTGTAAGAAGGAGTGGGCATGGTCCACAAAATTATAAGAGAAACTTCTTAGTAATCTTCCTTCCAAGTTTGGTAACTTTAGCTCTCAGCGGCTGGAGGCGTGGTCCAAAATGTTGTGCCCGGACTTTAGAAGGGTGCTCTAGCAATACACCTTTCAAATTTGATGACTCTAACTTTTAAAGCAAGCAAGAATGGGGGCAGGAAGGCCCCTAACAGGACCAGAACCGTATTGTGGCATAGGGAGGCACACTATACGACTGGAACTTAGAAACGAGGAGAGGCAGAGACGGCAACAGAGCTGGTCGGAGACAGTAGGACTCCGACAAGCCAGATGTCTCCTAGGTGGTTATAATCTTGTTCGATTTAAACAGATTATAACCATGGGAAACAACAGCCTTAGGATACTTACCGGTCTATTGACAGGACACTGTAGACTAAGGAGTCACCTGACAAAATTGGGTATGTACAGTAGAGATCTCTGCAGGTTTTGTGAAAGAGAGGAGGAATCCTCGATGCACATCCTTGCAGAATGTGTCGCCTTAGCCAGAAGAAGAAGCAGCATCCTAGGGGCACATGTCTTGAATGGCAAAGACATAGAAGACCGCAACCCAACAAAGATCCTTACGTTCATACGGGAGTTGGGGCTGATGGAGGAGCTATAAGCTCAGAAGGGGCACAATATATCAAATAGGTCGCGGTGCAGCTTCCCCAATAATAATACTAATAACTTTCAAAGTGTGTGCGAAATATGGTCTTATCGATTTACATTAACAGACGTATCGGTTTAGGGAGGCGGCAAGGGCGTGGACTCCTATGACACCTATGACACCTTCGGTATCAAAGTATGATAAAATTTAAAATTAAATTAATATTAATAGATAAGATATATTTACCTCAGTTGTCACACTCCGAACATTTTCCCGAAAATCGCAAGTGAGTTCTAAAAGAGCTTGCGGGTTGCTGACGAATTGTAAGGATCATGATGATTTCTTTTGACTGTGATTGCCCTTCCAAAAATATCGAAGTTGTTTTTTATCGAATTTTGAAAATAATCGTCTGACTACTTGATAATTTGCTCTAAATGGAGCTCCTTTTTTTGGCATCCAACTCATCGGAGCCGTCGTGACAATCGATGATGTGATCGCATAACGCTGATTTGGGAATACAGGCGCCGTAGTTACAGCTAAATGAGCCTTCAGGGCATGGCGTTACAATACAAAAATCTTTTCTCTCATCCGATTTATCGCGACATTGTGCAACACTATCACACAGCTGGCTCTGAGGCAAACACTCTTTGGATTCCTTACATTCAAATTGCTCTTGTTCTTCATTGCTGTAATTAGCAATCAATCATCAATAAAGAATTAGGTTGGAGCTTTTTGTGGCACTTACAGACAATTTCCACGAAGTATAGTATACGCAGAATCCTCCAATGGGGTACAGTCCAGCCAGTGCTCATCGGTACCATCCCAGCAATCGAGTATGCCGTCACACATCTTGGAGCGCTTGAAACAGGCGCCGTAGGCGCAGCGTCTTTCTGTACAGTTCAAATCATGGCATTGCACAAATGTCTCATCACTGCCATCTTGACAGTCCTTAGACAAATCGCACTTGAGAGTAGCACTTATGCACTGCCCATTGTCGCATTGGAATTCGCCATCATAACAGTGATTTTGTTGTTGTGCATCTGCGCAGGCTGTAAACGAAATAAAATAAAATAAAAAAAATAAATATTTAATTTAGCAACTCTTGACACAATTTGAATAAATATTACCGATGTTCAGGCATAGAAGTAGCAAGAAAATGTCAAATACTTCTCTATTCATAGCTTGAAACATGGAAATGCTGCTGATAACAACTTTAGAATTATTAATTTAAATATAATTTATAATATTCCGATCCGTTCATATGACGACTGTTCGCGTTCGACTTTCTTCGCGTACTGGGTTTCAAAAATGCATTGCGTTCTTGATATTGAGTCCCTACTGATTGATGAGAACCAAAAATAGACAGATTGTAAAATTACCTTTGCACTGGTCAGAATGACCAATACAATAGATAAGTACCATAAGTGATCATTGTTATGCTTTTTAATGCAAACATTTTTTATAAATTAAATCAGTTCGAATTTATAAGTGACATACAAGTGGTTCTTCTGGGAAATCTTATTGCAATTATCACGCTCAAATTGCAAGGGCTTCTTTCAAAAATAAAATTTTATTTACTAATAGAAAATGTATCGCATTTCAATCAATCCAATTTAAATGAAAACGAAAAGAACTTAACTCACCAGAATGACATTACTTTCACCAAAGTGAGCAGACAACAAAATCAAGTAAATTAAATCAGAGGGTTATGTTAAGGTAGAAATATTTGCGTATCTCAATTAACTTTTTTTCGCAAAAAAATTTTTGCTATCTAAGCAAAGTCTAAAAATAAAAATTCATGTGTCCTCAAAATATCTCGTTAAATATTCATAAAAAATAAAAACACAATGTACTTTGTATGTCAACCTCTTCTTCATTTCATATTGTGCACTCTGTGCTACACTACGGCACATTTCCAGAGGTACAGGGGAAAGAGTGGCAAGTAAGTAAGTAAATGCCAGCTGTCACACAATGAACATCGTGTCACTTGCTCATTGTTGAGGGCAAGATGGGAGAAACCGGAAAATCTTTTTGAGCGTGCAACGCTTGGACTCATGAATTTTTTAAAATCAAATCAAAAGAACTCCCCTTTTGGGTATGGCTAACCCCGACAGTCATAATTTTCAGACAGTTCAACAATCTCTCGCGTGACTTTTTTTCCAGCCATTCCGTGACTCAATTATGGCACATAAGCAACATGCGTCGTCTTCCCATCCAGTGTTGTAGCTCCAGGCAACGGCGACACAGCAAAATGTTGCAGGAGCTGGCGAAGTTCGGCGTTCGAGTGTGTTTGCCACCCAGTTTTCGCTCAATGCACACACGTGACAATAAAAAAGGTAAAGAAGAAAACTATTTTCTGCAAATTTAAAACTTCAGCACTTTGACATACTTATAAAAAACGTGCACCTGTTTAACTTGCCTGAATGAGGTTGCTGACTTTGTTACCGAGCAGACAAACAAATACTTAAAATTGTATCTGGAGCGTTGCAAGTAATATTTAGCTTAAATCTGCTTAAATCTCAGTTAATGCAGCCTTAAGCAACGTTATATGTGCTCAAAAAATGATTGTTATTGTATTGTTTTAATATTTACATTAAAATATAAAATTGAAATTAATAACGTTAGACTACGCTTAATTTCTACCCTTTCATACTCATGAAATAGATAAAAACATATAAAAAAAAAATAAAAAAAATAAATTTCATCTACCCAAATATGTAACAGTAATTATCTAACATTAATTAATAAAATCAAATCACATATTACCCGCAATTAAAACACCATTAACATAAAGCAGAGAAAGAAACGTTGCCTACTTTCAGGCAGCTGTAAAACACGGCCACGAATTCAATCAGAGGCCAGAAGAAACTCCGCTGAGGCGATGCCAGCAGCGACATTTAAATAAATTTCAACCAATTAACAAAGCAACTGTAAATTATAATTAAAATATAGCAACAATAATACAAATGAAAATTGTGTAACACACAGAGAGAAATTCGGTGGCTGCGCCACTGTTGAAGGTCGTTGAGCTTACTAAATGTGTAGCACGTGCAGGTTGTTAATTACAATTAATGTGGTGCGAGGCTGGGGGGCTCGACGGTGTGCTTTGTGTATTGTATTTAAGTCAGACAATACGAACTTTCAAGCTGCCACATAGAAAAATAACACACACAAATTTCAAAATGTTTTTGCTTGCCGTAAAGTACTGAAACTCCTAAATGCGGCCCAATAATTAATCATTTTATGGGCTACCATAAATTTGTTAGAAGCCTTGTAACGCTTGTAGAACAACCGAGTGTAATCATTTTGGCTTATGCATCTAAGTTAAGAGATCCGAATTTTCATTTAAACACAGAATCATTACATTTTAATTAGAATCTGTGGTTGGTTCTATATATATTTTGCCTATTTATTTTGCAAGATATGCTTTTATCCGACAAAAATCCAATCATTTTTAATGAGATTATTTTTTACCTTAAAATCAGTTTAATTCTGCAAATAAAAATATTTTTAAAGATTTTGTTAGGGCATTAAAACGTCAAAGTGTTTTTTGTCAACAGCTTAAAGATACGGCCTTGAAAAAAATTTGGGTTCCTGTATGAAAAGCAGGTGTGTGTGAGCTCTGGCTTACAAACAGCTTGCAGGTTAGTGTTATTGTATGGGAATGTATGTGTGAGTGTGGGTGTTTGTGTATATTTGGGTGTGTGTGTGTGTAGTTGTCTGAGAATCTTAGGAATTTTTAATATCATTATGCGCTGCATATTTTACTGTTGGTCTTATCAATTGATTGTGTGGTTAATATTAACGTGGCATGCTGGCTTGGTTCGAATTCTGGAATCCCAATCAAAGATACGATTAAATATATATTTATATGCCTGTATATAAGTGTATACATATGTTTTATTTGTAATTACTACAAACTAATATTAACGAAATTTACCGAAACACCTTAGCAATTGTAGATAATATAAACTTACATTTCTATTTATATATGTTAGTTAAATATGTATTAAAAAATAATTTTGCTATAAAAATATATATTGATGATGGCTTATTCATTTTAAATTTGACTGACTTCCATTTACATAATATTGCCATTAGATAACCATTTTATAAATAGCGTAACCTGTGTGCACACACACTCATGTGTGTGCTCCTGTATGTGCTCATGTGTGTGCTTGTGTGTATGTGTTTTTGTATGCTTTTCTTTACTTTTAATAGCTTTGCTATAAAAAAAAATCTGTATTTACACATGTACATTTGATGCCTGCGAAAACAGATTTACATGTGGGCTGTGCATTTAGAGCCAACTCAGGGCCACGGCTTAAAGCTAAAGTAAATATTAAATGGCAAAGGGCCAGGAGCAAGGAGCCAGAAAAGTATACATATGTTAGCCTAGTACAAAAGTTGCTTGTCGGCATACATGCTGTCCCAGAGCCGTAGCTTTTCAGCCTCTGGCAAGTCAATCACCTGAACATCTTGTGAAATATTCAAGCACTTGAACACCACATCCTGCCGGGATATGGGCAGCCAGATCTGCTCCTTTGTTTGTGTTTGTGTTTGTGTCTGCAGCAGTTGCGGCTGCGGCTGAGGCTGCACGTCCCCATTCCCAATTCCCAGGTGCGTGACGAGCGGTATGCTGGGATCACCGTTTGCGGCAAACTGCACCACCATGGAAACCAGTCGTCGTATCGTCTTGAACTCGGCCGTGCGATGCTTTAGCTTTTTGGCTGCCGCATTGTAGAACAAATAGGATAAATCATCCGCATGGCAAGTGCCACGCACCTTGCGGCCACATGTAATAATTCGCATTATATTGAAATGCTCCGAGTCGAAATCGAAACGATACAGAAATGTGGGCGCATTGGCCGCATTCAGACTCCTCGACAGCAGTGTGCGATGGATCCCGTGCCAGAAGTATTTGTAGGAGCAGAGCTGCAGAAAACAAAAACGATTTAGTAAACTTGGCACTATGTATACAAAATTCGTTATATCCATCTATCAATCTTGACTTTTATGGCAGTAAAAATTTATCTTACATTTGTTTAGACAGGCAAGTTTTCAACAATTAACATTTTTATGTCATTCAAATTCTACTTAAATATTTTTATTTCTATTATTAGTTGCTAAATAAGGAATATATTTGAAAAAAAAGAAGTAATAATTAAGTATTCAGCTTCATAAATATTTAACTGATCTCCAAATTATACATATACTTACATCGCTGTATTCAAGTATAGTGTCCCGACCAGGTTGCTTATCTCCAAAGTAGGTGGCTTTTAGCTGTTTACCAAAGGCGCGCCTCTGATCCGCAGTCAGGCCGGCATCCTCGGGCGACAGATACTCGCAATCGCCCAGATCGCAGAGCAGTTCTGGCCACTTGCGCACCTCTGGAAAGACGAGTAGTCCCTCGAAGGAGTTACCACCGACCACCATGGGTATATCGTTGCCCCAACAGTTGCGCATCATTTCAATCGGTGGCTTGGGTATCACACAATGCTCCGAGTTGTACGGCTCAACGGTGGGCGCAAAGCTAAACATCACCTTGCGCTGATGACGCTCCTCCATGGTGATAATATCATCCGCCATGCGCAACATGTTGCTTGCCTTGCTCTGACGCAGATGGTTCAGGATCTCCCGATCATTCGGCTCACCCGTAAAGCCCGTCGCCTGTGCCAAGCGATAGGCCCAGTTGTATTTGGGCGTTATGGACCAGGGCGATAGAGCACATCCTGACATTAGCACTGCTTTGTGAAAGAGATTCCTTGTCTGCTCCGTGAGCATCATGTAGTGTGTGGAGGCGGCACCAGCACTCTCGCCAATTACCGTTATGTTATCGGGATCACCGCCAAAAAAGTGACAATTGTGCTTGACCCAGCGCAGGGCGAGTACTTGATCCTTGAGACCTGCATTTCCAGGCACATCCAGCTGCTCATCGTCGAGCGTAAGAAAGCCGAGCACGCCCAGCCGATAGGATATGGTCACCAGCACCACATGCTCCATCATAAAATAGTCGGGACTGTAGAGGTCACGGGATGCTTCGCCCATTTGAAAGCCACCGCCATAGATCCAGACGAGAACGGGCAGCGGCTTTTGTGGATGTAGCTATTGCGACGTGACAGAAATATAATTATTATAATTTCTATTCTTTTTTTTATTTTATTTTTTTTATTTAAGTGACGTGAATTTACAATAGGCATTAAATAGTGGTTACTTTAAAAAATATTCCAAATTAGCTTAATTCCCGTAGAACAACTTTTGTTTCTAAAAAATTCTCAGAGCAACAAAAACAAAAAAAAAAAAATCTGCGAAACTAAGAAATTGAACTTTAAGCATCGAATGAATAGCAAAGTGTTTGCAAAGCTGGAGTTGAAAGCATTGTCTACTGACGATTAATGAGCTAGTTCTTGGAATAACTTGCGTTTTATAAAAACAAATAACAGTGTTTGCCCTTGAAACAACTATAAGCTGAGTCAATCATTAAAAAAAAAGCAGTTAAGCAATTGCTTCTTTTTATATATAAGACAGATTGAGCTTACCTCTCGTGTATATAAATTTAAGTACAGACAATCTTCGCTACCCTGCACATGCTTCAACACCAGATTCATCTGGCAGGGCTTTGTTCGCACGCGAGTGCAACGTTTCACGTCGGTCCAAGGATCGGGCTCGACGGGCGCCTTGAAACGCAACTCCCCCAACGGCGGCTTGGCAAAGGGTATGCCCTCAAAGCTGTAGTAATTGTTGCCATAGATCGAGCGCCATTTGACGCCCTTCACCTTGCCGTAGACCGTTTCCGCAATGACCTTATCCTTGCTCCGAAGGCGCTGTTGTTTTGTCTTGAACTTGACATAGCTGGAAGAAAAGAAAAATTCAGAGATATTAATGTGATTGCATACCCAGACAGGTAAGTGCATTTTGAGCCAATTGTATTCCGAGTGTTTGGCTAAACATTCAGCTTTTTTTATGTGTAAACATTTAACAGGTACTTTCGGCGGGCTTTTAGCTACTTATTGCCCGCCGTTTTGCTAAACACAATATAAACAACAAAATTGAATTATAAATTGCAAAGCATATCTGACCAGCGGGTGGCCTACAAATGAATATATATTTATATATAAATATATAAGACGAAAGATATTGAAGAAATACATAACAGTGCAGCCAAGTGGATATAGCGCCATGCTTAGAATATTCTAAATAAAAGGGGTTAGGTCAGTTTCTTAAATGTAAACTAATGAACTGATCGTAAATGTATAGTACTGTCCCCGTAACTAGTAAAATCATAAGTATAATAAGTATAATTATAAATTGATTGATGAAACATATTACAAAACATATATTTCGAATCTAAAGTTGGTTCCGTATACTATATTAAAACTATAATTTTGGAAATAGTTTTTAAAAAAAATATATTTTACTTACATTATACAAAAATCGGTTCAACGCTAACTTATTATATTATAAATAAGAAAACTTAATTCTAAATAATATTCGCTACTTTTGTTTTATAAATACAAATGCAAATCGCAACAAAAGAAATAAAAACAAATCAAAACAATATAAAATCGCAAAATTCAGAATAGTGTTTCCATTGAACAGGTTCTTCTGTGCACAAACACCAGAAATAGAGGAAGGGAGAGAGCCATACAGATAGATGAACGATGCCCCATTTAAAATTTCAAGTGCGTTTCCATTAGAAACGTGCCAGCTAAACGATGCGTGAGTCGATCGACAGCAGACCGATGCGCCCAATATAGATTCCATATATATATATTTATAAAAAGAAACTTTGACTCGATCCCAGATAATGTATACGACTCCAAGTCATTGGAAATTCTATGCGTAGTGCGAGTAGCAATTAATTAGCCGCTGGCGTTCCTCATCTGCTTCATCTTGTTCTGTAAGTGTAACCTTGGAGGTATTTCCATAATTCTACTTGAATCCGTTATGAGCACTTTGTGTGAAATATAGAACACTTATACATTGTCTGCTAATTATAAGCAATTATTATACAATTCTAAAAGCTCAAGGTCAGTGTCTCCTATATAAGTGTAAGCAAAAAATAATTTATTACACGATTCTGGAACTGGTTTTTCCAACTTAACTGCATATTATTGTATATTTTAAAATGACCGGATAAAGTATAAAGTAATATACTTAATTTAGTTTTATGCACCCGTTTTCAAGTTGTTAAAATAATTCGTATAATCAAGTCGCACTTGAGACGCAATACCATAGCCGGCCTGGCATCTGTTTCTGAGTCTATCACCGTTCAAGTGGAAGCAAAATACAAACTTTTATCACGATTTGTATGCTCAATGAAACCGCTAATGAAACCACTAACAAATCTCCGGCATTGACTCTCCATTCAAATCTGACCACACAAAATATAATTTACCATATGTTAATTGAATATATAGACATACGTACTTATTATTAAAGTAAACATTTAATTAGAAGTATAATCAGCAGAGGAAGCAGTTTTGAACACGGCAAGTTGCACAATATTGAGGTGTGAATTTTCGTAATTTTTAACAGGAAATAACAGTTTTGTTCTTCATATGAAAGAATAGATTCCCTTTTTATTTAAGTCCGATCAGCTCAGCTCTTAAAATATATTCAGCGAAAATGCGAACATTCAAAATAATGTTGTGTAATTTAAACACAAGTCTAACTAAAAGCAATCAATATATCAATTGACAACAGCATCAGCAATGTTTCAGGGCAATGGCGCTTTGGAGTGCCAAAAATATCCGAAATATTTGTCATTTATTAAAATCGTGCAACGATGTGTAAATTAATATAAATGCAAAGATGCATACAAATGAAATGTTAGCAACAATTGAATGATTTCATTTCTTGGAAGACAACAAGAACATATGATTTGTTCTAAAAAAGAAGCGGATCAAAACTTATTTATATAGTTCAACATATTAATTAAACTAGTTGTATACATATACGGTTGTATTATTTATTTGGGTCAAGAATAATGTTGATATCAGCAGTGAACTTGAAATTTAGAAACCTAAAAGCAAATGTATGATTAACTAATAGCTAGTTAGTAACTAAACTTATTTGCAATTAAGAAATATAACATTAGCTTTACATATAATTAATTAATTGCCACTAATTTGAAACATTTTTTGTATAAATAAATAAATTAGGTGATTAAAATGGTTTAATTAAAAAATAGATATATATTTCATTAAAGTTTGGGTAACATAATATTTAATTAACCACTGAAACTGACTTGAAAACTATCTAATGAATAAAATAAAATGTGTAAATAGTGCATATACCCAGAATTGCATTACAGTCAAAATACACTTACAGAAAAAGACTTGACTGAACAAGCAACTCAGCAGAAGACCAGTTTTTGTTATTCGTTTGCTTAAGCGTCTTGATTTTTGTGCTGTGACATACTCAGCAGCGCTCACAATTTTTATTACAAAACAATTTTTATAAATGCCTTGACATTTGCAAATTTTTTTCTTATATTTTATTTACGTGTTTTTTGGCCAATTTCAAAAACAGTGATCTTGACTTTGGCCGCTTACTCAGAATATTTAACTGTTGCTCAATTTCAGATTGGCTCAAGTTGGCGCGGCTGATATCAAAATTGCAAATGTCATGTGCTAATTCAAGTGAGCTCGTGATTTATGCAGTTGATATAAAACAAGTCTGACGCAGACCAAACAAACCGCCAATAAACCGGAAAAAAACATATAAAATAACAAAACTCACACACAAAAGCACCTTTTAAATCTGGCATAAGTCTTATCAGCGCAGTTTGTTATTGATATTTCATAAATAAATTATAAATTATTATCAAATTTGTTGCCGATAAGGACTAAGTACATGTGTACAAACGATTTAAGAACTACTTCATAACATTTTCAGATTATGTGAAATCCGTATGACGACGGTGCTGGGAACAAGGTTCACTTTAGAGAAGAGCCACGCATATTTAGAGTCTTATCAACAGCTGCCGAAGATTACCCGATTCTACAAGGTGAAACGAAAGTGCAAGCAATGCGGATGCATTGCTTTGCTGTTTATAAGACTCCCAGCTATAGTTGAACCGGATTCAAGACTATTAATAGGCTAGGCATATCTCTTGTTGATAAGCTGCTTTCAAACTTTGACGTGGCTTGTCTTCTAAGCTTTTACTTTCCATTTGTAAACCTCTGCGATAAGAAGTGTTCACATTATTGAGTCAGAATCAAAATTTGAACTTTGAGTATGTTTTTTGTAGGGTGTGATAATCATTTTTTGTTTGTGAATCGATAGCAAATGTCATATAGGTCAATACTCAGACATTTCTAATTGTAGAGAACTGATTTGCTCGATTTGCTCCATGCAACCTCATACAGTTTTACTTAATGAATTTGACCTAGATTTCTATTCGAAAAAATTATATTAAGACCGTAAAAGTAAAATTAAAATTTGTACACCAGAATTCAATGCAAATATAATTCAAATATATGTTAAGAAATTATAAAAAACTGTGATCAAAATAAAATAAACAATGAATGTTATTAAGCTTAAATTTTATTTTAAATTAAATTTAAATTTAGTCATTTAATTAAGAAAAATTTTAAATAATTAAATTATTAAGTTATACATAGATATTTATTTTTATTATTAACCTTATGTATATAAGTGAAGCGTCAAATTTACTTACTTAGATTATATTAGCTTTAAATGTTTCTACCATGAATAATCTAAAATAGTTTTTAAATTTGATTCTATTCCATCCTAACGAACGTCCTATCGTTTGTAGTATAGTTAATAAATTGTACATGAATATCGCTGCCACTTACTTTAATGCGATACGCATCTGATCGGCAATGGCAATATCAAATGACATGTTGCTGCGGTTCCGCAGTACCGCAAAGCGCGGCGCAATTCGATTCCTTTCTGCCTGAGTTCTATACACACACACACACACACTCGGAAACACACCCACTCACAGGGGCAGTAAAAATTCACAAGTTGTTTTATATCACAGTAAAAATCAACACGACAAGGCCAAATTGTTTCAAGTGGCGAACATATGAGAAAAAAAGCTACGCCCACGCGGCGTATGCGCAACGTGCCCTTTTCGCAGGCTTTAACTAGCAATATTATGATTGATTTTTTTTTTTTTATACGTTTGTCCTTTTCCTCAGGGACGTAAAAGTTGATTTAAATTGTATATATATATTATTTTCTTTCTTTTTTTCAGATTTAGAAGCACTCAACTCAACACGTTTCACTTGTTGCCGGTAATTGAAGTCGCGTTGCATTCGCGATGTTCTTTTTAATTGAATGCGTTGCGTTTCGATGCTTTTTATTTATTTTGAAGCTGGCTTTGATGCCTTAGGCTTGAGTTGCGTTTTACTCAGGGGTTGCGCGTCTACTGAAACATTTGAAGTAGGCGCCGGCTAAGTTTAGTGGTCGACGGACGCGGCGTCGTCGCTTGACGCTCACCGCTCGGACGTACGTACGTACGGCCACACATCAAGCATACACACACACACACACACATAAACACACACACACACGCATGTACACTTTTACATGGGGTTTCCACTCATTTACTCTTGCCCGGCCTGACTGGCGTATGAGTGATATTCTGTGTGTGTGTGTGTGTGTGCTGCCTTGTTTCGCACTCAAATGCCCATGGCATTGTCTGCTCGAGTGAGTTCGCTTGCTGGCTGTGCTGGGCGCCGTTGTTTTGTTTAAACGTTATCGTTTTTGTTGTTGCCTTTGCTTATTGTTTATAGCATATGCACACACACACACACACACACACATTCACACAAACACATTTGTGTATGCACACAAAATAGTTTCAACAGCATTTACTTGTATTTTTTGTTTTGTTTTTGTTTGCTGTATGTTTGACTTTCGGTTTGAAGTTATTTTATTTTGTACATTAGTTTTTGTGCCTTTGTGCAAGTTGCAGCTCTTATATTGTCACACACACACAGGGCGTATGTGTAACGTTTGTTGTTTCGTTGTTTTAAGCATGTTAATGAACAGCGTGCTGATATTTTGAGTGCCAACTGGTAATCATGTTAGTTTTATATTGTTATTGTTTTTATATTTGAATTATCGTTAAATATTAATTTGTATATTGAAACATTTATTTATTAAGCCTTAGGCAAAATATAGATGTGAAAGGTGTTAAGTTATTATTTGTTATTAATCAATAACAAATGTAAATATTACCTTTTAACCGGAAACTATTTTTATATAAACTAATCAAATTATACCTTACATTTTATATGATTACAAATTACATGGAAAAAAGTTGATAGAGCCGATTAGCTGCAATAGTGTTTCCATAGAGCTATTATTTGAGTTATAGCTAAATTACATACTATATAAGTATTGTCATGCAATTGTTACGTATATTATTATAGTAATATTATGTACATGTACAAAATGATACAATACATCATTCGTAAAGGCAATTATAGTTATTGAAACGCGATATTCATAATAATTTGCTAGATATTATATAAATTAGATTGCTAATCCATTTAGCAAATCCATCAAAACATTAATTAAACATTAATGGAGGAAGATAAGTATCGATCTAAGTGCCAATCTATTGAATAATATTTTACAAATTTCGTAACTCTCAAAGTTTAGGCAAAGCACTCTAATTTATTAAATAATATAGATTAAACTATTTCATTGCGTTTACTGTCATTTAATCAAATCATAATTAAATTGTTGCTTTATTATTTGATATGATTTATATATTGTAACTAATCGGTAATTTCTCATCGATATCTTATCGACAAAGTTGTGGAAAAGTAATTGATAATATTCGATTAACAAGAATTGCATAATAAGCATAATTAGCTATGAGTGCAGACTCGGATAAAATACAAACCCATTTATATTTAATATAAAACTGAAATTGTTCAACAATTAAAGTATGCTAAATAACAATTATAATGTATACCATAAATCGTATTTTGTACATTCAAATGAGTCTCAATGGCTTGAATAAATTTACTCTAATTATATAATTAACTTTTAAATGAATTAACAATGTGACAAAGAGTAACATGTCTCATCGCACAAATGGTCACAAAGTGTGTTAATAAATTTTGGATAACTCCCATTAACAAATTCCGTGCCGCACAATGAACAACGGGTAACAGTCCGAGTTGCACTCCGTCAGCTGTGAATAATTTAATAGCTATGCTGCCAGCAGCCTGTCCTATAAATAACTGGATAAGTGGAACACATTTAAGCTTACCTAAGGCTTTGTGAAACTAATTTCAAATAATATATTTATTCAAATTTGGTATGATTATATCATATGGCTTTCAAATATGTCAATTTTGTTGCAGGCATACCCCTGCTAGGGACGCTTTTCGGCGTTCCTTCTAGTGAAAGACTCCGCCGTCTTCATGAATGTTTTGTGCTCTTTGATGAACTCTTCCGCCAAATCGGAACGTAATGGATGTTCAGGCTGTGGATTATGGACAAGGTCAATTAGAGCCTGAAAAACATTCTCAGTGCGCGTTGTGGGCTTCCAATTGTCTACTGCAATAATTGAGAGGCACACCTCACCCTTCTCATCGACATTGGGATGATAGATTGGAGTCTTGAAGACAATCTTTGGTGGCATAAAGGGATACTGTGGAGGGAAACTTATCTCAATTTGAAAAGCACCCTTGTTGTAGGGTGCCTTCTCCGGCACCAGCAGGCCAGTCCACAGCAGCAAGGACTCATCTGATACCTCAATATTGCGAAGGATATCCGATTTCGCAGCAAGGATATCGCTCAGCTCGCGACTTAAGCGCCGGGAGGCAGTCATTTGACTTTTTTTTCTATTTTTTATCGGAGTCGGCTATAAAATTTATAATTACAAGTCATTTTAGGTTACTGCTGAATAAGCTGAAAAAGCCTATTTTGTTTTAAGGTTATATACATTTTGATATTTTTTAAACAAATTCTTATTACAAACAACCGAATAAAAATAATTTAATAAAATTCATTTAAGATAGTTAGACTTTTGTACAAATTCAGAATCGGAAATGATTTAAAATTTTACATTCAATAAAGCAGGTCCCTATTATTGTCGAATAGACTCTCCCAGATCCTTATTTTAGACCACTCGGGCAACTCCATAAATTTCAGCTCATCGCTAATATTCAAGCAGTTGATGCTCTCGTCACTCTTGCGCACTGGGTCCCAGGTGATCATGTCCATGCCATTGATCTTGGAGCTGTGTGGATTACCGCTTGCCGCAAACTGCGTCCAAATGCCCACCGTGCGCTCAATATTGCGATATTCGCGACTATCCTTGGGAAGGCGACGCGACAGGAGAGAGGTGAACTGATATGTCAAATCATCCGCATGACTGACGCCCTTCACGCCACGCCCCAAGCGCATGATTACAAATGGGTTCAACAGCTCATCCGAATCGAAATCATAGCGATAGAAATAAACAGGCGAACCAGCCGCATAGGCAAGTCGAGAACGAACCACTCTCAGAGCAGGGAACCCAAAGTAGACCATGGTGCACAGCTACCAGAGAAGGAAAGAGAGTAATATAGAGAGAGAAAGAGAGAGCATGAGATACTATAAGCGTAATGAACCATAAGTATTCAGATATTACACACTATTATTATTATTAATTTTTAAATAAATATAATATATAAATTTTAAATATATATTTTTTTAGAAAAGTTAGTCTTCAAATACTTTGCATTTTTAAAACTCGGGCGTATTTACAATTGTCCACGAAACTGTTAAGATTTACAGAACTTATATTCACTGCTTCTCTTTAAACCTTAGCTGTTACACAAATCAAAATAAATATTGACTTGTTATTATTATATTATTATTATTATAAGAAAAGTAATAGGCTATATCTTCCTCTAAGCTAAATTCTAAATTTAGAAAAACTGTACTTTATTACAGATATAAAAAAAAAAACATTTCTTAATTAATCTATTGGTATAAAGTAGTTTCTAATGAATATCGTAGCAAAAGTACATATTCAGTATTCTGAAATCAAAATAAATAAATTCAAATATTTTTATTATCGTTGGTGGTAATATGCACCTAGATTTAGTTAGATCAATTATGCCATCTTCTATCAACTTAAAAAATGTTTTTTTTTAGAATCAAGAATCTTGGAAATATGTGTAATTATTTTGCAACTCAACTCACATCCAAATAATTATCCGGCGTTGCCTTATCATCCGTCACATGAGCACTGCGTATCATCTTGCCCCATCCTTCGACCTTCTCGCTGTTGATTTCCGCAAGCTCACGTGGCACGAATACAGTGCCTGTATCCAGTTGCTGCACCACCTGTGGCATCTGCTTGATTTCTGCAAGGACGCGGTGTTAAATAGAACTATATCAAGGCATCGGAAGGCACTTACCTGGCACCCACAGCAGTCCCTCATATGAGGTATAGCCTATCATCATAGGTATCGAGTTACTCCAAGCGGTCTTCATCATTTCACGTGGATGCTTTGGCACAACACATTCGGGCGTCGCATATGGCTCCAGGGTGGGTCCAAAGGGGAACATCACCTTTTTTGCATGCTCCTCGGGCGTCAGCACTTTGTCCTCCAATCTTAGCAGATCTCTGGCCTTCACAGTTTGCAAAAACTGCAACACATCCTTTTCATTGTTCTCGCCTTTGTAGCCCGCCAGCTTGGCAATGGTGTAAGCACGCCCCGTAATATCCTCAGTGAAGGCCCAGGGCGCAATGGCGCTGCCGGACTGCAAGATGCCCCGGTGAAAAAGGCCCTGTGTCTGCTCCGTCAGCATCATGTAATGGGTGGAGGCAGCACCCGCACTCTCACCAAAAACCGTAATGCAATCCGGATCACCACCGAAGCGAGCACAATTGTTCTTGATCCATTTGAGTGCCATCACCTGATCCTTGAGACCAGCATTGCCGGGCACATTCAAGCCGGGTGTCTTTAAGCTGAGAAAGCCTGTAGGAATAGATATTAAATATGATTAAATTCAGGGAACAAGAAGACTATGCAATTTACTGTTATCTCGAGTTTCTATAAATTACATTAATCACACAATATTACTTGCCAAATATTATGTTATTAATTATGTTATAATATGTTATTATAATAAATAATATGTTATGATGATGTAATGTTACAAATGCCTTGATAGAGCCTTAAATGGTAATAACTTAATATAATATTAAATATAAGTATATGCAGAGATTCTTAAATAGTAACCAATTAATATAATACTATATAAGTGGATAGTTAGATAGATATGCCACGACTTACCTAGAGCACCCAAGCGATATTGTATTGTCACCAGTACAACATCCTCCTTGATAAAATAGTCCGGACCGTAGAGCTCACGATTGGCCTCGCCTATGATAAAACCACCGCCATGTATCCAGACCATGACAGGACGTGGCTTGGTTGGACTCACCTGTTATTTAAGTTGTTTACGTTATTAGTTATTTCGATTCCGAAAGCTAGATTTTATGTATTAATTAGCTCACATTATTCGTATAGACATTAAGGTAGAGGCAATCCTCACTGCCTTCCATCCTGTCATAGATAAACTGCACCTGCACCGCTTTATCCTTGGCCTGAGTGCAATCCCGGACACCCTCCCAGGGCGTGGGTCGCTGTGGCGCCCGAAAACGCAACTGACCAACGGGTGGCTGAGCATAGGGTATGCCCTCGAAGCTGAAGTAGGGCACATCGTAGATGGAGAAGCGCTTAACGCCCCGCACTTTGCCATATTCGGTGTCGGCAATGACCGATTCGTTTGTGGTCTGGCGATATTGTTGGATTTTATGCTCGATGGTTCTGTAAAATGCAAAATGGAAATTACCATAATAATAGTGGACTGGATAAGCATACAAATCTCCATATAAATGTATCGAGCTAGTTAATATGTAATTTGTATCGTCTCTGAATGCATGTTAATTAAGATTCCCTGTATTTATAAAATGTGCGAAAAAAGAGGTATATTTTTACAGACAGAAGCAGTCCCATCCCCTAACGTATACATATGTATATAGATATAAACTTTTATATTCCGATGATATTATTTTCATGAGTAGTCCATTTTAACTATTCGAATCTACTACTACATACTACAACTTAAGCTACAGGATATCTTTTAGTCGATCACTTTCGTCTAGAACATTGTTACGTGCTTTAATTAGCATTAAATTGAAATTATTTTGCTGATGCGGCAGCTGCTGTTTACTATAACGTCAGGTCAATAAATATACAACAGTTTCAGTTCTTCACAGTTAGCTGTGTTGCATGGACCACAGTCAGCTGGGCACGTCTGTCAGTGATAAATGAACACCAACTAACAAGCTAGCCGGTCACGCAACAATGCACTCAACTGTTATTCAAGTATTAGCCCTCAATTGTGAATCCACTTCATGTTCCACTGTGTGCCGTGGTCAAGCAACAGTTATCACCGAACACAAAGCATGCAAATATAGATTACAAAGATTATTTACTAAATATGCCTATTCGCATGCAAATAATTGGGAAAAGTAATGTCACAAAGGGCTACCCTCTCTCTCTCTATAGGTATATATATATATAAATTATTTTTATTACTTTTGCATGCATTTCTAAAGGCATTATCCAAGGTATTTTAAGGTACAACAAAAAGTTACATTATTTATATTATATATCCCATATCTATATCCACATCAATATATATATTTCAATGCTTAAGTTTTATTTCGGATTAATAAATAATTTTATACTATGTTTCTTTAATCATCAATTTATTATTACACAAATTTTAAATTACATTTGTTCAATAATTATTATATTTAATTGAATTTGGAAAAAAAAAGTAACGATTATTTAATTAAGTGCGTGCTAAAAAGTTAATTTCTTAATTGACGATGTATTATTTTGAAAATTCAATTGCCAACAAGCGACTTGTGAATAACGATACTATATAGCATAAATGTGATAATGATGAGATAATGGGAGCGTGAAACGCAAGCACGAAAGTCATGAAGGTTTTTGTAGCTGGGCTGTGTCTGATTAGCTTACAAATATAATTTTCAAGGCGATATCGGCTCACATCCTTTGAAATACAATGCTTTTGGCATACTTAGGGAACAATTATAATAATGTATACTACATAAATGCTGTGCAGTGAATTCTAAGCATATAAGATAACAAATAATAATAATAATAAAAACAGCCAAACAGAAGATTTGTCTATGTAACCAAATTTGTGCTCATATATATGTACATGCCGACATGATGGCAAACTATGCGTTAATGAAAGGTCGTAAATAGAGAAATATGCTACTCATTAAACTGATTAAGCGATAAATAGGCAGCGCATATATGAAAATATTATCGATTGAGTAGCATAAATTAAGGAATTATGTGACATTTTTATGGTTAACATAAAAACTTTATTGATTTACGATAAACAGTGGCAAAATCTATCTTATATGTATATCTACATTGCGTATAAGCAGCAAACTTTTCATGACAATATTATGTGTATTATATGAAATACGATGTCAAGTTTTTAATTTTATGGTCATCTATTAATTAAGATTATAATATTATTATTATAGTAATTGTCTTCAATTATTTAAATTGAAATTAATTTTAACATTTGATCTGTTTTATTTATTTTTTTCTGGTCTGAGGTCAAGTGTTTTCTTAGTATTGTTTTTGATATACTCCCTGCACTGCAGCCATTAAAAACATAATTAAATTATAAAAAGATTTCAGCAAACAATAAATAAACAACATAATTTTCCATTCATAAATTCGTCTGCTGATAGACTCAATAGAATATGTTGGTGCTTATTTTTTTAGCTTTTAATGACTTTAGAATTCTGTGAGTAAATATATATTTTATAATGAGTCATTTTTAGAAGTAGTAGATATAAAAATATGCATTTTTGAACAAATAAAATGAATAATTTATTAACTTATCTAAACATTACTTAGTCACTTGCATGTAATACTGAAATAACACCACTTCAAACTTTTGATATATATGTATAGATAAATAGATAGATATAGATGGTCATCAAAGTGTTGGCATCATATTTCACTAAAATAGCTGCTTACAATTGTAAATATTGATTAGCTCATTGAATGTATGAAGCCCCAAAAAGCTAAGTCATGCGTCCAAATGAGTAAAAACTTGAATACTCTGAACAATGGAGAATGACACTTGAACTACAAAGTAATCTAACTAATATTAAAATAAATTAATGTTGATAAATTGGGGGATCAGAGACACACTCACTTTAAGCGCCAGCGAATACGCTCCACAAAGCCGAAGTTTTTGTTCATTCTGAGAGCAGACAACAACACAACATATACGATCGTCAAGTATCTATAAATTCCTTCCTTTTCACCGATCCGTAGACTTTAACGCGCCAGCACTAAACCGAAACTGAAATTAAAAACTTTTTTGATATTCGTATTGAGTTCAGTTGTCGACGAGTCTGGCGCACAAAACAAGCGAAACAAGTGGAAGAAAGAAAAAAAATCATATATATTTACACATATACATTGTAGAGTAAAAAGCGAGAATAACATAATAAAATATCAACAAAATACAAAAACAAAAAGCGGCATGAAAAAAATAGCAACAAAGAGATTCCAACAACAACAAAAAGTTTTTTTTCAAGTGCGGCATACTGTTTACGTATTTATGTACACATAGACAACTACAACTGGAAATCTTGAGTGGGGGGCGCTTGCTAGATATGGCACTACTTCTGATACTGCAACTATGTATCGACGCGCCCAAGGCGACTGCATAATTAATCAATTGATTTACCAATAGCCCACCATAAACTGCAAGCGATTCGAAACATTTTAGCAACTTTTCCAGAGCTGTTAAACAAACACAAAGTTGGAGTATTTTTAACTGTTAGCTGAAGTATGCCAATTGCCGGCTGCTCACACCCAAAGGGGGGTCGCCCGCCCCCCACTCGGTTGCGTTGGGTGCGCTTGATCGCGTCGGCAATGTAAACAAACACCAACATATGGTTGTTGTTTGCTGGCAAGTTTTTAAAAAGCTTTTCGTTTCTCGGGGCGTCGCCGTAAAAGCTTGCCCAGAGCTCTGAGCATAAAGCTTAAAGCACAAAACACTTCAGTAGCGCACAGTGGCGGAATGAAATATTAATTCAACTTGACCAAGTCAATACTCTGTTAAAATATCAAAGTTAAACTTATTTTTCATAAATTAATATTTAATTTTGAAACTCTGTTTAATCAAGTTAGAAATTTATAATTCATTGACTAAGAAATTTGCAATATGTTAAAAACATAATTATTTATTAATTTTATTCAAGTTTTTCCGCAAATTCATATTGAAGCTTGCATATTCAATAATTTTGTTATCGATTCAAAACAAATGTTTTATCCCTCAAACAATAAGCGATTGTCATTATCGTAAAGCTTATTCCACACTTTCAGACCATTCTTTTCCAACAGAGACTGAAACTCGACCTCCCGTCCAATATTCATGGCTTTAAACGGATCCTTTTTATCCACCGGCATCCACTGATGATCCCCCGTTTCTGCACAGTTGGGATTCCCCGTGCGTGCAAACGTCGTCAATATTCCAACCATGCGGCCTATGGTCCCACATTCAGCTGTATTCAAGGGCCGCATCAGAGCGCGCCTCCTGGGGAATATGTAGCCCAACTCATCGGCATGGCAAACTCCCTGCTTGATGTCGTTCCCGCACAGCTTGATGCGCATTAAGTTATAATCGGGCGAGTCAAAGTCAAAACGGTAGACATAGGTGGGAGCCTGGGCATAGGCCAAACGGGAGAGCACAGCACGGTGAATGCCATGCCAGAATAGCTTATAGCTGAAGAGCTGAAGAAAAAATTCAATGAATATAAATCAAAGCTAAAATGCCAGGTAAGAAAACATAGGTAATCTTATTTTTATAACGTTTCTTAAAAAAAATGTAAACATTTTGCAAAAATAAATATGCTTCAAAATGTTATTTTATAATTGCAACAATTTTTCTTATGCTTAAAAAATTCTCATTTGCATCAATGCACTTTTCTACGATATTTCTTTGTTGAGTTTTTAAACAAATACTTTTGTGTGGGTGGAAAATGTGGATTGCTCTACTTACGTCTAGAACCTGCATCACATCGTTTTTATCAATGTTCCGCGGTCCAAAATGAAAGTGAATCAACTCCAAGGCGCGTTCTTCACGTTCTTTCTTCGAGAGCCGCTCATACAAATCGTAGGGCAGTACCAAGTCCGGCTCCAGCTTGAGCAGATCCATCATCAAACCATTGTTTAACGTGCAGTAGGGATACATGACCAAGCCCTCGAACGAATTGGCACCTATCAGCAACGGAACCCGCTTCGACCAGGCATTACGCATCAGTTCCAGGAACGGACGCTTTAGCAGCCCTTCGTCCGACTTGTTTGTGGTGTGGTGCTCCAGTCCAGGCACAAACGGATACAGGTGTCCGAAAATGTATTGCCTTGCGCCAAACAGATTGTGCTGAACCACCTCCCCAGCGGGTAGCGAGCATAGATACTCCAAGATAGGCGCCTCAGCCAACAGGCCATTATAGCCCTTCTGACGAGCGAGACGGCAAAATAATGTACTCGTATCCGGCACCTGAACCCACGGACTCAACATGGAGCCTGACATAATGATAGCTCGGTGAAATAGACCACAAGCCTCCGGCAGGCACATCATAAAGTGCACCGAGCCAGCACCTGCACTTGTGCCCATGAGTGTAACATTCTCAGGATCTCCATTAAAATAGGATACGTATTTCTGTATCCAACGCAACGCCAGCAGCTGATCATGCAAGCCCGCGTTGCCAAGCACGCCCAGTTCGGCACAACTTAGACTAAGGAAACCCAACGCACACAGGCGATAGCTAAACTGCACATAGACAAAATCCTCTCGCATTAAATAGTCGGGACCGTATTTGATTCTGGTAGCGCCGCCCGTGCAAAAGCCACCGCCATGGATATAAACCAGGACAGGCAGCCTTGGCTTGCCAAACTGCGCAGAAGGAGTTAGAGCTGATACAAGTCGAGAGTGCCCGACTAAGAGATACTTATGTAAAGACTTGTCGAAAATCCGACTGATAGTCTAACGGTTACATGGAAGACAATTGAAGAATCGGTGAAGCCAGTGAAGCGCTGTCAACTTACATGCTTGGTGTACACATTTAAGTGCAGACAATCCTCACTGCCCATTATCTTGCCAGTGGCCTTGTTAACCTGCACAGGTCGATCACGCTCCTTCAGACAGTCTAGTATCTTGCCACACCAGGGTTCAGCCGGCTGTGTTGGCTGGAAGCGCAACTGTCCAATGGGCGGTTTGCCAAAGGGTATGCCCTCAAAGCTGTAGTAAGCCTGGCCAGCGATGCCAGCCTGATGCTTGCCCTTCACCTTACCCAGCGGCAGCTCCACGATCTTCGTCTGCACACTTTGCGAGTAGTTCAACTTTCCGGTCAGCAACTGCAGAAATGTTCTATTGCACATTCGGCGATATTTCAACATGTCATTACTAAATCGAAAATGAGCAAAGCCAACTTGGCTTTCAATTCCACTTAATAGATCGAGACAATATGACGATACAAATATATACCCCAGAGCCTTGATCGAAACATTTGTGTGTGGTGGAAATGAATTTGCATTCTCAAAACCTGTGATTGTGATATGAAGAGAATTTTCTCATAGCTTCCAAAAAAGATGTATGTTAAACGAAAAGGTTTCAAGCATCAATAGCCAACTTTCTTCCTTCCACTTGTAGGTCGAATATTTCACTTTTATCCTAGTCTAAAAAAGTTTGGCGACTGTTAACCAAGCGTCAGTGCACAGAGCAAAAATAAAAGAAAAATATTTAACTAAAAATGCATATTAAATTTGAATACTGATTCAACTCAGGTACTAAACAAAAATTGAATTCAAACTACAGTTAAAATTCAAATATTGATTTTATAATCGCAAAAAATGTAGAAACTGTTATATCTAAGTACACCTTTTTATTTGTGTAGATTAAGTGTACTTAAATAACGTTAATTGTGATCTTTGAACTTGTGCTCTCACGAACATCCACTTTGCAAATAATTAAATATCTCAATTAGCAACATTAGAAACAACTACATTAACAATATCAACGCGTTTCTGTGGCCCATTAAACGTTGTTATTAAACACGAACAGCTGTCTAGAACAACTCATAGTTGTGGCGCTCTCTGCACCGACCGATAAAATCAGTTTTATCAATGAAGTTTTCCTGCTCTCCTTGTCATATGGTTTTCAATAAGAACAACTACAATATCAAAAATTAAAACACAGCGAGTGCTACAACAAAAGTGTATTCCATATAGATAAGCGTTCGCTTTTGTCGTTCGTGATTATAACATCAACATAAATTCAGACTGTGCAGTACAGTAAACATTGATTAAAACAAATGCTGCCCAAATTTCCGGTTAAAGAAAATCTATTCGGAACAAATTTGGATGTGAATTACTTTCTCTGAGGGAAACGAGCATATTATCAATAGAAGAAATGGAAAAGAAATGGGAATGCAAGTAATTTGCTCAAAATCTGTATTTTTATTGATTTATTAATATTAACTATAAGACATTTTAGTAAAAAACAAAATATTTTTGAATAAATATGAAAAGTAAGAGAACCTTCAGTTTAGAGCATTATATCACTTCCTATTAATCTAAATCAAACAATCAATCTTAACAAGTTTTTGCAGAGAAAAGCAGCTTTAAGAATTTGAGTTATTTCCGACCCAACATTTAACCAAAAATATTTCTGAGATAAGACAGTCAAAAATTTGCAGTTAGATTTGCTCGGATTGTTCATCCTAGGCAATTGCTACTGTGCATAGAGTGCGAGTGCTCATACGAGTACTAGCAGATTGCCCGAGACTAGTATAACGATCAGTTGCAACTTGTCAATTGCTAGGGACGGAAGTGAAAGCGTCGCACTCGCTGCATTAGAACAAGGACGAATTATCCATTCAACATGAATCTGCAAGTCGGTGTTGCGGATCTGCTAAAGTTGGGCACCAAGTAGGTGATTTAATAAGTGCTGTCGGTGGCATCGTAAATGTCGAGTACCAACCAAAAATTCAGCGATAAGATAAGAGCAACTGATTCGACACGCAATTAATATGACAGTTTCATTGCTCCGCACTAATCCAATTATAGACTCATTGGGCACAAGATCGTGCAATACAATCTGGGCACCAAGGTGACAACAGTGATCAAAACAGTGAATGGAAGAGTGCGCGGACTGCAGCGTAAGACTCTCTACGATGAGGAGCTCTACTTTGCCTTCGAGGGCATACCCTATGCCAAGCCGCCACTGGGGGAGCTGCGTTTCCGGGCGCCGCAGCCCGCAGAACCATGGGAGGGCATCAGGGATTGTACTTACCCACGAGCAAAGCCCATACAGGAGCATTTCGTGATGCACGTGGTCGAGGGCTCCGAGGATTGCCTCTATCTGAATGTGTATGCAAAGAACCTTAAGTCAGAGAAACCGCTGCCAGTTATAGTTTTTATCTATGGCGGCGGATTTCAAATTGGCGAGGCCACTCGAGATATATACAGTCCAGATTACCTTATGCAAAAAAACGTTATTCTGGTCACTCTTAACTATAGACTGGGAGCGCTAGGTAAGTGTACGGACACGAGAAGTGTCAAATGTCAAATGTAACAATCAGTATTTAGATAGCAATCTCTGTTTGAAAACAGTGAGACAACAGTTTAATTCCAGTACTATTATCTCTATCTCTTACAAAGTATTTGTTAATTTACACTGTCTTATAAATGTGTTTGCTTTAGGATCAATCTTACAGCTATTATACTTGTTACACTTATTTTTTATATAATGCTCCCATTCTAAATGTAAAAAAAAGTGTATAAGAAGTTGTGCAAGTGAATGTAATATGCTGGAGGAAGTATGAGCAACTCCTTGTCTACTTCTAATTAGCATCAAAAGCCGAGTCTATTTAGAAACCTGTATGAACATGCCGATTTCAGAGACTATAATTCGTATATACTCGTATATCCTACTAATTTGATCAATAACTGCCTCCTTTTTGCGTTTCTTAAAACTGTTATATAAACTACCCTGATATATTATTGATCAACTGTACAAATTTTGTTATGATCATATTGAACAAACCACTGTCAGACAGCAGTCATGCGTATTTGAGAGCTGAATTCAAGGGTCAACGCTCTACATTTTTAAAAGTATCAGTTAATTAGTTGATTACAGATTGCTCACAGAATATAGTAAAATTTCAATCAGGAGAATTACAATTCGTATGCAACTTAAATAATTCATTACAGGTTTCCTCAGCCTCTCCGATCGAGACTTGGATGTGCCCGGCAATGCTGGGCTCAAGGATCAGGTGATGGCTCTGCGCTGGATACATGACAACATTGCACACTTCAACGGCGATCCAAATAACATAACCCTGACGGGTAATAGTGCGGGCGCTGCCTCAACTCAGATAATGATGACCACCGAGCAGACGCGAGGACTCTTCCACAAGGTCATTCTCATGTCGGGCTCATCGCTAAGCTGCTGGGCCAATGAGCCCAAACACAACTGGCCGCATCGGCTGGCCTCTCAGCTGGGCTATACGGGCACCGACAATGAGAAGGAAGTGTTTCGTTTCCTGCAGCGAGCCTCGGCTAGAGACATAGCCGGCTGCTCAACGATACAAAACCAGGAGGAGACCCGTGACTATATTCTGTTTCCATTTGGACCAGTTGTGGAGCCATATGTGAGCGCGAGTTGTGTCGTCTCCCGACCGCCAGTGGAGACACTCTCCGTTGCGTGGGGCAACGCCTTGCCGGCAATCATTGGCGGCACCTCGTTTGAGGGGCTATTCTGCTATCAGTTCGTAATGCGCGATCAGACCTATTTCTTGAGCGCTTTTGAGTCCCTGATACCCAGAGAGGTGCGTGATATTAGCACGCCAGCGCAGCTCAAGGAGCTTATTAGACGCCTCAAGTTGATGACCTTTGATGATGCGACGCGTGGTCGCATGGAGTTCAAGGAGTGCCTTCAACTGAACTCCATCAAGCAATTCTGGCATTCCATGCATCGCACTGTGCTCGCCAGACTCGCCTATGCTCCGACCACGCCCACTTATCTCTATCGCTTCGATTTCGACTCACCCACGTTTAATAACTATCGCATTCTACAGTGTGGCCGCCATGCGCGAGGTGTTTCCCATGCCGACGATATCTTCTATTTATTCTACAGCATACCGTCCAGTAAACTTGATAAATCCTCGCCAGAATATCGCACCATCGAGCGTCTCGTTGACATGTGGACGGCATTTGCCGCTAACAGTAATCCAAACGGTCCACAGTTGGCACCAGTCAGCTGGGAAGCTCTGGAACCGAACTCTACTCCAATGTGCCTAAATATTGGACAACGTTTGGAGTTCATTGAACTGCCGGAACTGAAGCAACTCAAACTCTGGGATAGCTTCTATGATAATCTGAAATTGTACTAAATTGTTACATCACTTAAACGTTTATGATATAAAGGTCGAATGGATTATATTGTATAATATAATTGTAATTGCATAATTTCGCTTAACGAGGTTGCTGGGTTCATGTGCTGTTTAAAATCACTAAGCAGACAATACATTCATTATCTTGTCTGCTTAGTGATGAGATGTAGTCAAGTAAATTCATCGTCAAGTTACGAATTGAGAAATACAACTACAAAAAAAAACTTAAATCATGTGTATATAAATGCTTTTATAACTTGTATTTAATTGATATTGCCATCTTTGGTATATTGAATAAAATATATGCACAAATTCTAAACATCTGTCGAACCAAAAAGTTCTCATCTACCTGCACATGTTTTCATAAATGTCGATATATTTTCGCGTGACGAAAGCAAACACGACACGAAACCATCTCAAGTTCCATACAATATTGCATTAGTTCAAGGGTGAACGTAATTATTACAAGTGAGCAAATAAGCTTGAACAAATTTACATTTTAAATCATTATTAATTTTCTAGCGTCGAGCTGCATTTCTAATGAATTAAGCAAACGTATACACAGTTTCTTACTAAAATATACATAAGACCTGTCAATCTCACTCATTTCTCAATATTATCACTTTATAATTCAGCCAAGTAAACAATTTAAGAAAATTAATAATTCATTTTAATTCAATTTATTTACAGACTTCGTAATACACTAGAAACAGTTAAACTAGCAACATCACGTCTTGAGTACACAACTTTAGTACAAATGTTCCTTTTTATACAGACTATCCCAGGTCTGAAGTTTCTCGTGCTCGGGCAGATCAATGATTTCGATCTCATTGCTAATGTTGAGCACGCGTTGTGGTTGTTCCTGCTGTGCGGGTTTCCAGTTCAGATGAGCTGTCTCGTCACAGTTGGGATTGGAAGTGGCCGCAAAGGATGTCCAAATGTCCACCATGCGCTGAATGGTACGATATTCGCCGGATGACTTGTCCAGCTTCCACGACTGCGAGTTGCGGAACAAATAACTCAAATCATCGGCATGGGCGACGCCCTGCTTGATTTCATCACCACAGAACTTCTGGCGGAAGAAGTTAAAATCGGGTGAATCAAAGTCAAAGCGATAGAAATAGGTGGGCGCCTTATTAGCATATGCCAAACGAGCCTGAAGAGTCCGCTGGAAGCCATGCCAGAAGATCTTATATGAATAGTACTAAAAAAAAAAAAGAAGATAAGAGTTCGATATTAAATAAAGAGGCCTGCAAATTAGAAGTCATTTGGTCATGCTATAAAACATAAAAATTTATTTTTGTCAATAAAAAAAATGTTAAGCCAAATTTGAAAATCAAGGGCCAAATCAAATTTTTAATAAGGTCTTAGTACTTACATCCAACATATTCATCATATGCGCCGAGCTGGGAATCTCATCACCAAAGTACAATTTGATCATCTTGTGACTGTACTCCAGATTCTGCTTCTCCGTATTAAGCACACGCACATCATACGGCGTCATGCGAAGAGGATCTTGCAACAATTTATCCAATCCCTTAATATTGGCCTTTACGGCCGGAAACATGAATAGACCCTCGAAGGAGGTGCCACCCAACATGACAGGTATCTTGTTGCTCCACGCATTTCGTGCCATTTCCAGCTGTGATCTGGGCGCCACACAGTCGTCCATCACATACGGCTCCACTGTGGGTCCAAAGGCATAGATAAGTCCGTTGCGCCGATCTTCAGTGGTGAGTAGGTCGTGATCAACCAGTTTATATGGCTCCACGTTACGCAAGTGCTCCAGCACCTGTCTGTCGACATTCTCGCCCTCATAGCCATTAGCCTTGGCCAGACGAAAGGCGAAATCCGCTGGCAACGTATTGGACCAGTAATTGTGCAGTGTACCCGACATGGGAATGGCCTTGTGGAACAGGTCTCGAGTCTGCTCCGTGCACATCATGTAGTGGGTGGAGCAGCCACCTGCACTCTCGCCAAACACCGTTATGTTGTTTGCATCGCCGTTGAAGTGCGAAATGTATTGCTTGACCCATTTGATGGCTAAAACTTGATCCTTAAGACCAGCATTGCCGGGCACCTCCAAGCTTGGGTCCTTTAGACTAAGGAAACCTATAAGGGCAAAGAGAGCGGAGGACACTTTATATACTTTTTCGCCTGTGAAATTGGTTTAAATTGTTGATATATCAACTATTTTTAATGTTATTAAAATCTCCTAATCAGACAATACATAGAAACCTCAAATGGGTTCTTAATTTACCTGATAAGTTTTCTTAGCGAAGTCAAGTGAAATAAAGACTTGCGATAAGCCATCAGGTTCTTACCTAGACAATCAACTCGATAGTTAAGTGTAACTAAAACCACATCTTTGGCCATCAAGTAGTCGGGTGCATATAATTCGCGAGTGGCTTCGCCAATGGAAAATGCCCCACCATATATATAAACCATAACTGGCAGTGGCTTTTCCGTTTTCAGCTGTTAATATTGAAGCAATTTGAATGCTACTCAATTTTAACAATATAGCAAAGTCATTCTTTATGATAGTCACCTGTTTGGCATACACATTCAAGTAGAGGCAGTCCTCGGCCCCATCGATGACTCTCGTTGACAATGACCGCTGCACGGGTTTCTCGCCGAAATGGGTGCAGTCCAAGACTCCAGTCCACGGCTCCGCCGGCTTGGGCGCCTTGAAACGCAGTTCGCCCACCGGCGGTTGACCAAATGGCAAACGCTCGAAACTGAAATATTCGTCATCGTACAGTGTACGACGTTTGACACCCCTTATCTGTCCCACGGGCAGCGAAATTTCACAATTCTCGAAACTAAAATTATAATAATTATAACAATAGCACTATCTTTATTTTGGTTTGTTAATGAATTAATTAACACCTCTCCGACATGATGGTAAACAGTCTTTTGGTCGTCTGCTCTGCTCGCGATCCACTTGTCAACTAAACGAAACTGAGAGAAATATAAACTTATGTTGCTGAAGCTCAGGCGTTCAGTATTGTTGGCCAATTATCTTTATCGCACATTTCGCGCTCATTAAATACAAAAAAAAAAGGCAGAAATTTAAATACACTGTAAAAGTTTTCTATTTGCTGAAAAATGTTGTTTTTGCTATAGTTTTAGATTTGCGAAATTTAATATTACTTTGAATACTTGACATTCATCTACTAATTAGACTGAATGGTAATATAACTTATTTGTATAATATTTTATTCAATCTGTTTAAGCAAACTTTATAAATTTATCAATTGTTTTTATTTTTATTATTGTTTGGTGACCTCTTTATTTAATATAAATATGTATTTCGCTGACTCCGGGTGAAATGTTTTTAATGCGTAATAAATTGTTGATAATCATTAAAAAAAATCAATGTATATCGTATTTATAGATTATCTAGGAATACACATGTTTTCCAAAAAATACTTATCTTATCTTATCAAAGCTTTCAAATTCTATACTAAATTAGCTCCATTCCGGCATTTCTGTACAACTGATCGTAGAACTTTAATTTCAAGCGACCCGGCAGTGGTATGAACGTCAAATCCTCATTGATATTTAGACACATTGTGGGTTCAACTGCTGTCACAGGTAACCAATTGACCAGCGGTTGAGTGAGTGGCGCATTCGGATTAGAATTGAGTGCAAAGTGGGCAAACATGGCTGTCATGCGACAGATAGTCTTGTATTCCGCTCGAGACTTGTCCAGCTTGAAGCTGGCCGGAAACTTGAATAAATAGCACAGTTCATCGGCATGCACAACACCCCTACTTCCTGGAAAATAGCGTACGCGATACAAATTAAAATCCTCCGAATCAAAGTCGAAGCGATACAGATAATTCTCAGCCTGGCTATAAGCGAGACGGGCATTAATTATACGCTGCTGATAGTGCATCTGGTTGTGCGCATAAATCTCAACGATTTGAGGATAATGCGCCACTGTCAGTTCTCCGCAATACACCCCACAGAACTTCTTTATCAGTCGCTGTCCCAAAATGCGATACGGAGTCCGTCCCCAATGCCGCACCATCGAGTAGGGCAGCGTGAATTCTGGACGGTTTATTAGAGCTGATAGCTTTTCTGGTTCCTTTTCCATATTAGACATTGGACTGGATAATCCTTCGCCGCTGGTAGAACCAAGCATTATGGGTATGCGCGTACTCCATGCCGTACGGTGCAACACACGCGGCTCGGCCAGCAACAGGGCAGTAGGCGTTGCATAGGGTTCTACACAGGGCATAAAAAGCGGACAATTGGCATACTGCAGGCGATCGTAGAGTGTACGAAAGTCTGGCGTAACTAAGAGTTTGGCATCTAATCCATTTAAGTAGTCAAAAACTTGAGCGTCGTTGTTCTCTCCCGTATAGCCCAAATGCTTGGCCAGAAGATACTCGACATCGGGTTGTCTATTCGTCTCCGGCATGAAAGTGCTCATCAGTATGGCCTTGTCAAAGAGTCCCTCGGCCAGTGGACTCATCATCAGCAATTGCACGCAACAGCTGCCCGAACTGTGACCGAACAGCGTTACGTTATTCGCATCGCCATTGAAGCGGCTCACATTCGCCCTTATCCATTTGAGGGCCATCACAATGTCCTTGAGGGCCGCGTTGCCAGGTATGTCCAGCTTGGGATCCGCAAAGCTCAGAAAACCTAAGCGCATTAGGTTAGAGAGTCAATTAGAGATTAATCAATCCAGATTTAAAATACAAACCGAATGGTCCTAGTCGATAGCCAATACTGATGTAGACAACCTGCTCTCGCATCAGATAATCTGGCGACATATAGCGCCTTGCAGGATCGCCGCTCCTGAATATACCTCCATGCACATAGACCATTACAGGCAAAGGCTTCTCACTGCGTAGCTAATTGAAATACATGTTTATCAAAATATCTATATTATAATATATATATATATATATATATATATATATAAAACTTACTGTCTTCACGGAAATGTTCAGGTAAAGGCAATCCTCGCTGCCTTCGACCTGTTGTGATAAGCTGGCCACTTGAAGGCACTTGTCCTTTGACTCTGTGCAGTCGCGTATACCTGTCCAGGGCTCCACATCTTTCGGCGCCCTGAAGCGCAGCTCACCGAAAGGCGGCTGGGCGAAGGGTATGCCATCGAATCCATAATACAACTCATCATAGAGCGTTGTGAGCAGCGCACCACGCACTTCTCCGTGTGTGGTTTGCACAACTGGCGACGTTTCACTGCTGCAATATGTTTACATATATTATAATTAATTTATCAAACTGAATATATGCATATATAAATATTGTGTGTTGCTTACTAATCCGCTTCCATTCTCTGCTTGGCACACACTAATTTTAAATAGCCAAAACTTTGTATAATAAAGCAACACGCATTGCCGATCGTCATGAAATTACCAATATGTATGCGTAGGTTCATTGTTGCGAGCCACGATGAAGAGAGAGAAAGACAAAGAGAGAGAGAGAGAATTAGATTTCTCAGTAAGTGGCCGGAGCGCGCAAATGTTTTCTCTCTGGTCGCATATCTACTTTATACACCTTATCTTACCTGAATACACGAAAATACAAAAGCTTATTATTATTAAAGTCATGCTAACTGATAAGCTCTGTGTGGTTAAATAAGATCGTAAAGATTAAAGTATGTGGAACGCTGTATCACCACAAAAAAATAAAAATAAATAAAATTAAAAAAATTGTAGCAATATTTAACGTGTGAGACGAGATAATTTTTAATATGTTTGGTTGACTTAATGGCATATTTGGCTAAATACTATATAGACACTTCTATGATAATACCGTTTGCGCAAGCAGCTTTTTGATAGCTTTATTTTCAATTAATAACACGTTGTTATTTCAACGCTATAAACTTTATTTAAAATATTTAGACTAGAACCCAGAGGTTAGTCTTTCAACAATAGTTTGCTTATTAAAGGTTTGAAGCCACTTGCTAAACCTTTTCACAACAAGTTTAACTAAAACAGACCGATAAGTTAGAGCTATGCGAAACAACTAATTAGCTGCAGCAGTCAGCCGTTCAGCGAACGCCCTTTATAGAGAGAGAGAGAGAGAGAGAGAGAGAGAGAGAGAAAATAGCGTTGCGCAATAAGGGCGCTGTACAATGAGAGCAGCTGAAGCTCAAACTGCGTTTAACATAATGTGGATATATAATTAAGACTAACAATAAGCAATTTATATTAAGCCCCGCAGAGCTCCCAATTCAAACATGTTAACAACTCATAATCAATTAAATGTCTTTGCTGCTGCTGCCAACAACTATATATACAATACTATGATAATACCCTATCCTTTTTTTTTATTTCTTTTTTTGTTGACTTTTTTTTACCGCCTTTATTCAATTTACTTCAGTGCATTATAGATTAGAACAATTACAAATATTTAAAATAGATTTTACATTAATTTTATATCAATGTTTGATTATTTTTGAATTTCGTTCATAATTATTACAATTGTTGAGTTTTGTTCATGAATCAAGTTAATGGTAAATTATGCTTGCTCCTTGTAAACGGTATCCCAAACACGCAGCTTGGTCATTTCGGGTAAATCGACTACCTTCATGTCTTCCGAAATGTTCAAGCACTTTAAATTTTTCTTAGATAAAGGCGCCCAAGTGTTGCCTTTTGACAAATTGGACTTAACGCTATCGCAGTTGGGATCCGAAGTGCTGGCGAATGCAGTTAGTATATCAATCATGCGTTCAATGGTTTGGAACTCTGCGGTGTGCTTGTCCAGCTTCCAGGAGAAATCTCCATACCAAATATAGGAACGATCATCCACATGCGATACGCCACGCACCTTATCGCCGCAGTACTTCAATCTCTGGTGGTTGAACGTGGCCGAATCGAAGTCGAACCGATATAGATAAGTGGGTGCCGTGGCGTGTTTTAGGCGTGAGTTTGCTGTGCGTAGTATGGGATGCCAGAAGACCTTGTAACTGGTGTACTACGATGGTTACAAATATTACATTCATATATTAATTCATATATAGTCGATTCTGAACTCACCTCGCAATAGGCGGCCACACTATCCGGCTCCAGCTCGAAGGAGCTGTCCCGAAAATGCAAAAATTGTATACGTTTCGCCAGAGTGCGAACTGTAGTGTGGGGCAGCGACCGCTTCAGCTCTAGCGGCAACAAATGCTCCGGTTCTGTCTTGAGTCTAGTGAGTAGAAAAGGCGATAAGTGTACGCGAGCGTACATCACGAGACCCTCGTTGGAGGTGCCGCTCATCAACAGCGGTATATTGTTGCTCCAAGCATCGGCCAGCATCTCGCTGGGCTGTTTAGGTATTACACAGTGCTCGGTGGCATACGGCTCGACAACTGGCCCAAATTGATATATACAATCATTCAGATTATCGGATTCATTCAAAAAATACGGCTCAACCAGCTGTTCGCCCGAAACTTTCTGTAGAAATTCCAGGATCTTAATATCGGTGGCCTGCTTCAGATTCGGCATTCGCAATATTTCTGCAAGACGTCTCGCTGTATTGGGCACCGTGCACTGGGCAAAGCAGCACAGCACATTGCCCGACTGCAGAATGGCCTTTTGGAAGAGTCCACTGGCGCGGGGATTAATCATTAGATAATGCACTGATGCGGCTCCAGCACTTTCCCCAAATGCAGTTACATTCATGGCATCCGCATTGAATCTGTCCGCATTCTGTGTAATCCATTTCAATGCCATCAACTGATCTTTGAGACCCGCATTGCCCGGCACACCAGCAGCGGGATCTTCGAGGCTGAGAAAACCCAAGGCTCCCACGCGATACGACACCGTCACCACAACCACATCGCGCATCATTAAATAGTCGGGACTGTGCAGATCCCTTGTGGGATCGCCCTTCTCAAAGCCACCGCCAAAGAAGAACACAATCATCGGCAACGGATTTTCTGTCTCGAACTGAAGGGTAACAAACATTTTTATTAATATTTTAGCGTACCCTCTAAATCCCTATATTCTTATGAATAAATTAATTGCAGCTTTTTCATGTTATCGAATTAAGTTTCGAGTCAGTCAACCGACTGCTGATACTTTTCGGTTATTAACAAATAAATTACACCCAACCTTAGATTAGCATATGGTTACCTTAGATTAAAGTACTCTAATCTCGCACATCGCATATACTCACCGACTTGACATATACATTTAGGTACAGGCAATTCTCAACGCCCTCGACTTGCTTTGTGTACATATTAAACTGTAATGGCTTTTCACCCTTCTCCCGGCAGAGCAGTGGCGACTTCCAGGGCTGCACCGGCTCGGGCGCTTTGAAGCGCAGTGCGCCGAGTGGGGGACGTGCATATGGAATGCGCTCAAAGCTGGTGTATGTGTCATTATAAATGCTCGTACAACACTTGCCCACAACGGGGCCGCTTGTCGTCTTCACAACAATGTTGGGAGTGCTGTGAATGATATAAGCGATATTAGATCGCACCGTTTGAACAGACTATTGACCCTGTTACTCACTTCGCCATGTTCAGCTGCGTAATGAGCGAATCAGCTGCGTAATGAGCGAACTTAACACCTTTTTCCGCTCCGACTATGTTATTTTTTATCTAGAAAACATTGATAGCGGATACAAAACAAATCAACAACAAAATGTAGGAAACCAGAAAATATAACACAACTAAAAATAGCTGCTTTGTTTTCGTCCGACGTTAACAGTTATAGTTACAAAATCGAACTGATCGTCATTGCAACGCCAGTTCTGCTTTCAATTAGCACCGCTCGCGAAACACTGCAGTCTACGCCCAGCTCGAATGTTAAATGTTTACATTTCTTACCAGGGCTGCAGTAACACATATATTTTTATGTTTTCAAACATTGCTTTTATACCTTTAAATTAATAAAATATTCATTTTATTGCAAGTATTGTGCACTAGATGTAATTATACTTGCAGGTAGATTTAACTGACCACTTATTTATCTATATTCGTGCATCCCTATCAAATTATACCCTGAACCCATTAAAAATAGGTAAAGAGGGTATAATGGGTTTGTGCAAATCTATGTAACAGGGAGATGCTTCCCTGTTCTTCGGAAGCATCTCCGACACCATAAAGTATATATATTATTGATCAGGGTCAACAGCCGAGTCGATATAGCCATGTCCGTCTGTATGAACGCGTAGATCTCAGAGCCTATAAGAGCTAAATACTTCAAATTTGGAATATAGGTTTGCCTGATTTTATAGACAACTGCCTCCATTTCTCGATAATCAAAACAATTAAATTTCCGATAGCATTAATGGTACAATTTTAATGGCAGAATCTTCTTATAAATACGTAATATGCATATGTATATTATTGATCAACAAAATTTCATCAAGATTGGATAAGAAAGATCCAAGCAATAGTCGAAAATATATTCTCATATTAATCTAATTTTTGTGTTTTTTTATTTTTTTTTTAGGTTTTTTGTGAATGCTGCAGAGCCTCGTTATCCCGTCACGATTGCATGTACGTATGTATGTATGTATGTATATATGTATTCACGTGTTTATCGGCAAAGCACGCTTGAAAATATGCTCACATTTTGGTGGGTAACTTTTAAATGGAAATTTTCCAATAAAACTAAATATATTTAACAACAGGGTTCAGGGTAAATCGTTGTCGAGCTCACTCGACTACATTATTCTTACTTGTTTTATTACAATGACAGAAATGCGCGGAGAAATATAATACAAATAAAACGAATTATTTATGTAAATAACTTGGGTGGTGCATAAACTTAACATATGAATTTGGGAATGGTTAACAACTTTACTTACTAGGCGATCTAAATATATATGAAGTTGTTTCATATCAACTTATTGCTTTAATAATAATAACAAGGCAGTAATTCATATAGAGACATAGACGTTTACTGTGGGCAAGAAAGTAAATAAAAGTAAAACGCAATCTTTGAGCTTCAACACTAAAGCCCAGTTCTCAAAAATTGCTGTAGGACAGCACTTGATATTTTTGATAACGAACACTTTTCGTGGTTGGTAGTCAGATAAGAAAACTGAAATCCACAGTGATAACTCACAGTAAAGCTCTGTGTATTGTTTAACAGCTGCACGAGATTAGTTTGTATGGCGCGAAAAAAATTGCTGCAATAGATTTTTACGTTAGTTGGTGAAAAAATATATTGGCTTATATAACGTTATCGCTTCACCAGTGAGCAGAAGATTGCGCTAATAGTACTGAGGATATCAAATATATAGAGAAGAATAATAATATTACACTGGAAATCATTTGCGGCATTTGTTATATTGTTATAAAAAAAAAAACATAGAAATTCGAAGTTATTATATTTTCTGCATTTAGTTTTATTTCGTAACATTTTTACATCTCCCACAAATTGCAACTAGGATATTACTTTGAAAATATCAAATGCGATATTTTTGAAATATTTTGTTTTATTGTATTGTGGATCTTGATACACAAGTTTTTTTCTTCCAAATTAACATCCAAATTTGAAAAAAATATATGTATTTAGTTAGCTTTTTCATCGATGATTATGACCTGGTTTGAATTGATATAAAAATTATAATTGGGCTTAAAATTAAAAACTAGCAAGTATCATCTTAGCACAACGTCCAAACAAACCAAGGCACAATTATTCACATATACAAACAGCTGTTAAGTCAGCTGATCGCTGTTAATGAAAAGATAAGGCGCCAATGTTAGTTTCTCGTTCTCTTTTTATTTCAAACCGACGAAACAAATTTTTGTGAATGGCGCGAGATTTGCTGTGTCACGATGACGCATATAAGTATATTTTATAAACATCATATTTGGTACATATGTATGTACATGCATATCAGATACCAGACTCAGAGTTTAATTCAATTGTACTTAATGCTATATAATTGTTGCGACGTGTGATAATTGGAGATGGTAACAGTCGATTAAATGGTAACCCCCTTTTTTGAATATTATGAAGTGGTGAGATCCTGCGCTCGATAGAGACACATAAGGGAGTAGAAAATTACCCGACGAAATGGGTAATGATCGGATTTTTGGAGGTCGATCGAAAATTAAAGGACAGTCGATGCAGGATTTAGTTATATCCTTTTTTTGTTGGGCGAAGAGATTTGAAACCGGTGCCAAATAAAACCCGCTAAGCTTACACTAAAATAATGTAACCAATAAATAGCTCGTGTATCATGATGATAAGAACTTTTAGTGAGCAGAGAGAGATTTGCTGTGTCACGATGACAATAAAAGTACAAACAATTATATTTTATAAATAACTGGTCTGGTACAAATGTACTCAATTATTTTGTGTGCTATACTTTATGGCTGGTGATCGTACCCAAACATACGTAAATTATCAATTGCATGTACAAAGATTGATTTTATTTCCGTCTTTTTATTTCCCATTTCTTCAAGAGGAGTACAGCAATGTAACTTGAGCACATTTGCCTAAGTGTCTGTGTATGCCAAATAAACTAATAACTAAAATTTAAATTTTAGCTTTTTATCAGTCTTGTGAACACAGACCAAGGAATGTTTAGTGAAAATTAAAAAGAAAATAGTATTCGAGATGAGAGAGAATGAGAAACAGGAATGTAAACAAAACAAACTTCAAGTTATAGGGATTCAGGACATAACAAATGTTCCTCTCTCTCTCTCTCTCTCTCTCTCTCTCTCTCTCTCTCTCTCTCTCTCTCTCTCTTTTCGTCACGTTAAATTGAGTGATTAAGTGTCTTGCTACAATCTGTTGCAAAATTAAAGAGCGATAACCCCCCGTCCATGGAACCTTGACTTATCTCTGGGCATTGCTTAAAAAGTCCGGTAACGTAGAACGATTCCGTTAGTTGCATTGCGCCGGTCAATCGAATTGGAACAAGCAGGACAAGTTCGAAAATAATTATATTTTTCGAGCAACACAATTTACAAGCAATAAATAAAAAGCAATTAATATGGAAGTACACGTTGAATTTCCAAGACTACTGCAGATTGGCTTCAAGTGAGTAGAGACAGAGGGAATCAAAAAAGCGGGTGAAAGGGATTTGGTAGATCACCAAGACACATTGTACTTTGTGGATTTAGTTTCCCTTATCAAGGCACAAATTGTTATCTTTCGTCTGTCTCCCATATCTTATAGACTCGTCGGGCACAGGGTACAACAGTATCGATTAGCCACCAGCCACACAGTCATCGTGGAGACGAAATATGGTCAAGTTCGGGGTCTAAAGCGTAAGACTGTCTACGATGAAGAGTTTTACTATGCCTTCGAGGGTATACCCTACGCCAAGCCGCCAGTGGGTGAGCTGCGTTTCCGTGCACCAGAACCGCCGGAAGCGTGGAAAGGCGTACGCGATTGTACCACATATAGCGAGAAGCCGCTGCAACGCCACATGGTGTTGGGTACAATTGAGGGCTCCGAGAATTGCCTATATCTGAATGTGTATGCGAAGCGGATGCAAACTGAGAAGCCGCTGCCCGTCATTGTGTGGATCTATGGCGGTGGCTTCCAGAAAGGCGAAGCCTCCCGCGATATCTACAGTCCGGATTACTTTATGAAACAGCCGGTAGTGATGGTGACCATCAACTACAGACTGGGAGCGCTTGGTGAGCTAAACCCCTGTGATACCATTGCATTGTATTGTTATTATTGATCACGATCAATAATCGGTTCGCCAGACTGCCATTCTATGTTTAACTGCCATTGGAATCATTACTGCAAATTCATTTCATTGATAGGCACTTTGTTTTTCAATATATCTGAGTTAGTAAGGCCTTACATTCATGGGAATCATTTATCATATATGTGCGATAGCTGAAAAATATTTGTATGAGGATATTTGCAGGAGTTTGTAATCATTATTAACATTTTAAATGAAATATTTTATATTTCCCGTCTTAGCCTTTGCTCTGATTGGTTGAATTTTTGCTGTGATTTTATCTCGTGTATTTTAGTTGATTAATATAATTCAAGTGTGTTCCTCTGCTTGTACTCTTTTTGGTTTTTTGTCGGTAATTTTCTGATTAACAACTCAAACAAATACAGTCCGCGGATAACAGCTGCGTTTTGTTTTTGTGTTTTTGTGCGCTTCACGGTTTCGGTGAGCGTTGTATTAAACAAAGCTGTTGCACAATTGATTGCAGTGTATTGTTATTGTTATAGATAGGTTTTTGAGTGCGCTTTCTTAGTCTCGCTCTCTCGATTTTCTTGGACGTGTTGTTTTTTGAGCTGGTCTACTTTTTGTCTACTTTCGTAGTTCAACGGTGCTGCGCTAATTCTTTCTTATTTCAGCTTGCTGCGAATTTGTAGCTTTTGTTAATTTCTCTATGCAGTGCCGAGTATAGTTTGTAGAACTCATATTTTTACGCATATTCAAAAGCTGCAAGTGCCAGACTGACCCAAAGTCCGATTTCATTTGTTGTTTTTTGAGTGACAATGTAGTGCACATAAAATGTGCTGGCTTCCCGTAACTAGTAAAATATATAAATATATAATTTAGGGTTACTTCTTCATCAAAAGTTAAAATTCGATAGTCATATTAATTTCACTATCAACAAAGCCTTTCGAAATGTTGGTTTTATTTGGCGTTGGTCAAAGAATAAAGTTGATCCTTATGGAATACGGATCTTGTGTGTAGTCTACTCAATATCCCATTCGCCAAAGTACTCTTTGTTTTTCGTCGCTATGACTGGGCTGCACTGCCTCCGTCACCGATGGACTGCGCTGGATTTACATTCCCTCCTTATCTTATCGTTTCGTTATAGTTGGTGTTATGTGTGTAGTTAAGTTACTAAAAGTTGAATATAAATATAAATATGAACATAAATATAAATATATTAAAAATATTTTTAATTTTTTAATTTAAATTTAATTTGAGGTTTTATTTTGAATTCAATACAATATATTTTTCATATTTTATTTGAAATAAATAAAAAAAATCACAATATTTGTGTTTCCTACAGGTTTTCTCAGTCTTAAAGATCCCAAGTTGAATGTGCCTGGCAATGCTGGTCTCAAGGATCAGGTGCTGGCACTGCGCTGGATCAGTGAAAATATTGCGCACTTCAATGGCGATCCCAATAATATAACACTGATGGGAGAGAGTGCAGGCGCCGCTTCCACCCACATTATGATGACGACTGAACAGACCCGTGGACTATTTCACAAGGCCATATTGCAGTCGGGCTGCGCGCTAGCCGCCTGGGCGGATATGCCGAATCGCAATTGGGGGTATCGTCTTGCCTATCAGATGGGCTACCAGGGCAGTGAGGAGGACGCGGATGTTCTACAATTTCTTTGTAAGGCACCTGCACGTCAAATAGCTTCAAGTGATCAGGACATTGTTACGCTGGATGAGGTGCGGAACTTCTATCTCGTTGCATTTGGGCCTACCGTTGAACCATATGAGAGCGAACAATGTGTTGTGCCCAGGCAGCTCAAGAAGATGCAGGCGAGCGCATGGGGGAATAACATTCCCCTCATCATAGGCGGCAATTCATTTGAGGGACTGTTCTTCTCTCAGGTGGTGAGTAAAGATCCCTGGGTCCTGACCCACTTCGATAATATAATACCGCGTGAGGTGAGCAAGGTAAGCACACCGGAGCAACTGCAGCATATGGTGCGGCGTCTGAAGCATGTCTACTTTGGGGACGAGCAGCGCCAGTGTATGGAGCTCTTGGAGGCACTGTATATATTCTCGCATCGAGAAGTCTGGCACGATTTGCATCGCACTGTCATGGCTCGATTGGCTTATGCTCCTGGGTCAGCCACCTATCTGTATCGATTTGACTTTGACTCGCCGCATTTCAATCAGTTCCGCCGTCTTGCTTGTGGTAACCAGGTGCGTGGTGTCTGCCATGCGGATGAGCTATCTTATCTCTTCTACAATCTGCTGGCTACAAAATTGAATAAATCCTCGCTGGAATATCGCACCATTGAGCGCATGGTGGGCATGTGGACAGCCTTCGCTGCGAGCAGCGATCCCAACTGTCCGGCCACAGACTCAGCCCAGTGGACACCCGTGGAACTGACCTCGAATAGAGTGCACAATTGTTACAACATCAGCGAGGAGATGCAAATGATGGCACTGCCCGAGGCCGCCATACTCGCCGTCTGGGATACATTTTACGAGAAGGACGCTCTCTACTAAGTCTCAAATCCAATTCCAATTGAAGCACATATCTATTTTTAAGCACAAAGTGCCAAAATCCTGTTAACTATATAATATTATTAAGATTAGAAACACATTTTAAATGCAATTATTAAATCAACTGCTAAACTCATCAAATAAATTCATTATACTATATTGAATATTTATATTTGCTTTATAATAAGAGGTAAGAATAATCGTGACTAACAAAATATAAGTTTATTTTTAAATTAAGGAAGTCGAAAATTAATTCATTTCTAGAAAAGATGAGATGCAAGGGTTGGGTGCAGCTGTCCCCCTGCCTCACTCTCTGTGTATTTATACAGCTTTTTACACATAACTTAAATTATTATATTCAACTAAAAATGTAAAATATTATAAAGCGGTCAAGCACACACACAAACTTACACATCACACACCTACGCACTTATTGGCGCATCAAGCCTGCTTGCCATTGCAGCCATTTTGCGGATATTGCAAAAATTTGAAATATTTCTCATGTAGAGATACCAAGCGCAGTCTGATAAAATATTGCAATTAAAATTTATGTAAATTAAATTAGTTTTAAAAAAATGTCATATTTTCAGCGCACAAAATAAATGTAATTAAATTATTTTATCTTATATTTCTTTAAAGTTTTTTTTATTTATTGATACCTATATATTTTCATTTCATATCAAGTTAATTTGTGACTTGGACGGTTTCTATATTTGGAACCCTGTTGTTCATGCATATGTCACTGCCAACTCTCACACATACAAATCTCGAATTTGCTTTTGCTAATAGCTACATCTCGATTTAAGGCAACGTTGTCAGCATGCCTCACTGCGCCGCATACATTCACAAATGTGTTGCAAACACATGCTGGCAATGGATATGAAACGTTGTACTTTGGCTTTCGATTTGGGTGTGGAACTTTTTGCATTTATCAATTATGGCTGATTGTGGATGGATGTTAACTTGTTCAACTTCACCTGCTCTCTCGCCTTTCAGTTTTATAACAATTTCCAATCAAAGCACAAAATGCGTGTGTTGTGTTGTGTGGACCCAAATCAATAAAACTTTTGCAGGGGGCCAACAATAACCAGAAATATGTAGAAGAAAATATTCAAACAATGTCGATTGAAATTGCGCAACTTTTGACTGGTAAATTTAATGAAATATCAAACATTTTTAACAGTAACAAGTAAAATTTTGATGAGCCATCAAAAAATAAGTTTTTGTAGTGAAAAGTACTCTTGGCAGCGCGCGGCTGCTGTTAATTAAAATTGTCATAAATCCCCTGGAGTTTACCCATTTACAGTCGACTGAGCTGGTGAGAAATGGCAATAAGCATTTTCGGTTAATGTTTGAATGCGTCCCTTTTTAGCGCCCCCCCCTACTCTAAAGGATTTTGCGTATTGCTCAAGTACTTAATTACACTTGCGCGCATTTTAATTTCCAGTTGCAAAAATCTATGGGTTGGAAGGGGAGTTGAGGAGAGAGAAAGAGCGAGCGGGCAGGCACAAAGATATGTAAATTAGGCTGGCAAGTCAATGTGAGCCGAAACCTTGTAAATTATAGGCTTAGGCTGCTGTCAGGCCTGCTTGCAAGCGGCAACTCCACATTGGTTACATGCTGTTAAACTGGGTCCCCAAAAGGCTTATTAAATTATATACATATAACGACGGGGAGCGGCGTTTTTCTTTGCTTTCAATGTCAGGCGGCAATCTAATCTCACTTTAAGCACATCGCTCCTCAAGTTTGACACTGCCTATTTAGTATATTGAATGTCAAGGGGTTAAGATAAGTAGCTGAAGTTGCCTAACTTAAAATTTATATATATATATATATATATATATATATAAGTACAAATCAGAGTACATGTCCGGCTGGGCATTCAGCAAATAAATATAGGTTGGGTTTTGGTAAAAGTTATTTTTTTGTATTTTCTGCTTTTTATTGCACCGCAAGGACTTCTCCATATGATTTTAGCTCTGCTTCTTTTTCATATTTTCTTTCGAACAAAACTATTTTAAATCTGAAATTGCGGACAAATTCTTGTTCGTTCCCATTCTGAAGCTTTTGTTGTGCGAGGGACTAACTTTAAGAGACAGCAGCATAAGGACATGAACTGAACATTGATTTGTGCTTTTTGAGAGGATGTCGGAGCGGTGCTCAACCTTCTTCAGAAATTTAAGCAGCTTTGAAAATGTCGTACAATTATTTCATTTATTTAAGTGCATATTTGGGAAAGGAAACTCAAATCTTTGAATTAGTAAATTATTCATTTAAAATAAGAAGTAATTAAAAAAGTTACAGAGCAGCTTACAAATTAAAAAAAAATGCAAAATGATCTAGTTCCTTTTTATAGAAAAAATTTCAATTTATATTATCAGTTGGGACATCTTGCCAAGCTTAGTCTACGTACTCGAAATTTTTTCAAATCCTTGCAGAGCGTGTTCCAATTTTATTGCAAAGTTTATAGCGGACTTAACAGGACTTCTGCGACCCCTTTAGATATATATATATATATATGTCTAAGTCCATGTCTCTTGTGGTGTGTTCTTTGTGAAGGTGTTCTTTCTTGTTTTACTCAATTATTAAATTGAATCCCGTTTATAATTAAACAGTGAGCGGGTACCTTAAAAATTTGCTGCCATCCCAAAAGCCTATTAGCCTAGACCCAAAAGGTCAAGTTATATTGCCATTCTTTATTTTGATTTTCTCTGTTGGACTATAGCTGGCTATTGTTTAAAATGGGGTGGAGCGAGCGCTTTTGCTTTTGTCATCTTTCACAAAAAAGTAATTTGGCTAAAAAGCAAATGAGTAAGTATTAAAGAGCAAAAGAAAAACGGCAGGACGAAATGTGGGATAACCAAAACGGTTGCCACTTCAAAGTTGCCCAAGACAAAAGCAAAAAGAAAATGAAAAAATGAAACGTGAGCAGCATTTTTAATAAATTTATAGAAAGCAAAATAAAAATACATAAATTAACTGGCTGAGGGAGACGCCATCGTTTCCCAATTGGCATTTAATGGAGTCGGTTAATTATGAAGTGAAACGCTTTTTGATCTGACTGGCAAATTCAAAGATTTGATGTCCATGTTACTCATCGGAAAATGATACTCAAATTTGTTTAGTATTTTTTACAAGTTTCGTGACGAAATTCGATAATATAATATGGATAATATCGATATGGCGATGTGTTTCTCACATCACCAACACTTGTAGACAATACAATTATTTGGGGATAGTAATGGGATGGTAATGGGAAAAGGGGGCGAGGCGCGCCGAGTGTCGTCTGTGGCACTTGCAATTCACTTTGATTAAATATGTTGAGCGAAGGAGGCGGGGAAAATGGTGAGCAGCACATTAAAATGCCACAACAATGTTTAAATCCAGGACGACTGCAAATGGGAAATCCTGGGCGAAGCTCCTCAGACAAGCCAAATAGTCAGCGGTTGGACAAGAAAGCGCAAAACAAGTTTGTGAATTTCGGCAAACTGCAGCGTGTCCTTTGGCAGGATATAAAACAATCAGCGCAAGCAAGCGGAAACGGAAGTGTTACTGCCGCAACCAAGCCAACCATCCACCCAAGCATTCCGCTCCCTGCTATGTTGTTTCAATTGTGGGTGTGGCTTTGGGAATACTACGTACACCTCGCTTGCCTAGCTGCTGCACTATGTAAGTTCCTTGTAACTGCTGTGAAATGCAGTCCAATGTTGCCTTGTGGCCGCCATGCAGTCTGCTCCTGGGAGAAACCACCACCACTACCAGCACCACCGGCACAAGGCGGAGCAAATGGAGAGGCTTCCCTTATTTATACGCTTGCTCTCGATGTGGGCGTCTGTTTGAGTATTGTCTGTTTTGTAGCATGCTTTATTAATATAGCAAATTGAAATTTCACGCTTTCTTGCGATGCCTCGCTTTCACTGACTGACGTCTTCATTTTGTGTGGCAACGCCACTGTCTGCACCACCACAATGGGTAAAACACTATGTGAGGAAAAGCGAATTTGATTTCAGTCATTACATTATAGTATTGTAAGTTTAAGAATGCTTGTCGCTGTCATTGTAAATACAAAAATGCAATTAACAAATTTGATTTCAAGCCTGAATTGGTCAAGTTTATATTCAGTATGTATTAAGAGATCGAGCTTTGTTAGATTACGCAATATTAAACATTTTTATTTTAATTTATTTTCAGCAGTAATATTTTGTATTTAAACTTTTTTCTCATTAAGCGCTTAGCAGTTTTCATGATATTTGTTCCCAGGATTCACCAACACAAACTGTAAAATTAATTTGATCAAATAGTTTCGCAAAGATTTTTTTCTATATAGTTTCTAGTGTAACAGAATTTGCCATTAATGCATCACTTATCTCAAAATTTAGCGTCGAATTTTCTAAGTGAACTATGTAGCTGGGGGTAGGATGGGGGGAGGGCAGCGGTGCTCAGTATGTTCCAAGGCTCTTGTGGGCGTGGCAAAATGTCAAACACAAAATTGACTGACAAACTTTTACTTTCTATGGACTTCTGTGAACTGCAATTTTTGGTTGGCTTCACCTCGAAGCACTCCTCAGGCGTCGCCCCCTTCCTTTGGCAGAACTCACTGCTCGTTGTCCATGATGACAGCTGTCGAGTTGTTCTTGCTGTTAAGGGTGAGGGGGAGTGTGGTAGGTGGGTGTAAAGTTTCAATGCAAGCAAAGAAAGAGAAAAACCAAAACAGTTTTGCGGTCTTGCATTTGAGCATCGTCGGTGGGGTCCTTGCCGTCTCGTTGGTGGTTATAAATGAAGCAGACTAGGACCCCGCATCAGCAGAGAGTCAGTCAGGCTGGGGCAGCAGCAGTATCGTTCTTTGTTTGTGCCGCCTGCTGCTGCTGACGGTCATTCGTTGTTCTCGCTGAATCGGCATCCTTCGCTAGGCTTGTTGAGCACAATGATAAACTATCCTGCTTGCCACACCAAAATGCCCCCCGCCACTTCTCGTCTATTTCTTGTTCATTTAAAATGTGAGTTCATTTTACATTTTATGCTGTCATTAGATGTGTCTGCTAATGGTACTTATATTGATGAGTCTCTGGCGGTTTCAGATCGCTTAATTCTCCGCCAATCCCTCCCTATATGTACACCATATATTTAGTGACAGTCTCGCTTAGTAATTTAAAATTGTATGTTGCCCCAGTCAGTGTCAGTCACGCTTCACTTTTCACAGCCAGTAGAACATATTGAAGTGGCATAGTCTTTTTTGTGTACGCCCTTTTTTCATTACACTCAGCTGATGCTTTTGCAAATCGCAGTTGAGAAATGCGTCAAGTTAACCCTGAGGTTCATCTTTGTAATTCCAGCTGCCTGTTCGTGTCCATCTCTCTCCCCTTTTTCAGCATCACGTAGTCAATCAGCACAAGCTCAGCTTTTTTTTATATTTTTTTACTTAAACATTTGCCTTGTTAAATTCGTTGTTCAAGTCGGTTTTTATTGGATGTCAATAAAAATACTTTTGAGCGGACAGTTTTAATATTGCTGCAGTAATGTTCTCTGATTACACTTCCTTGAGTTACTTGAGTCCCAAAAGACATTGCTTTGCACTCATTGAGCGAAAGTATAGTCTAAGGAAATCAGAGACCGAGTCAGGCAGGAT